CCTTAGTGGGAACCGAACCTGGGACTCTCTGATCCATGGGCCAACGCTCTAACTGAGAAGCCAAACCGGCCAGAGCAGTTTTTTATGTTTCATTGATTTTTTTTTTTTTTAGAGAGAGAAACATCAATGTGAGAGAGAAACATCAATCAACTGCCTCCCGCACGCCCCCTGCTGGACACTGAGCCCACAGCCCGGGCATGCGCCCTGACCGGGAATCAGCCCGAGAGCTCTCGGTGCCAGGCCAGCGCTCCAATCTACCGAAGCACCAGCCAGGCGCACAATTACATTTGAAAAGTCTTTTAGGTCATTACTGTCAGAGGAACATAAATTACATGAGCACTCGATTACAACATAATTGGAGAACTTGCTGAAATGGAAGCATGAGAAACATTTTACGGAATAAATACACAGTAACTTATGAAGTACATATGTCTAGAGTGTGCGTCATTCAAACGTCGCCCGCCCCTCAACAGAATGCCCAGACACACACACTGATAATTCAGCTCAAACGATTGGGACGTATTTCTGACTCTCAGTCACATGCAGACCGGCTTTCCACATCTCCTTTAATCTGTGGTTAGAAAGGTCTCTTTCGATGGAAGGACTGAACATGCTTGTTTTCCAGTCTGTCGGCCTGACTTGGGACTTTTACATAGTTGGACACACAGCATGAGGACCCCCAGGCCCTCCAGAGGTGAAAATGTTAGGGGTGAGCCTGACCACGACCAGCCAGGACAGGTTCCTGAGGCCTCCAGAAAAGATAGGGGAGGTTCCGGGCAGGAAGGGGCTTTGTAGGGAGGCCCCAGACCTGTGCTAACAGTAATGCTGCTACTAACAGCAGCAATGACAGTCACAACTACCTGTTTCCGTGTTGTTTCATGAACTCTCCCCACAATGTGACAAGACAGCTACCGTCGCTATCCGTCCCGCCGCACGGATTATAAAATAGAGACCGTGGAAAGGGAGGTCCTTCGCCCAAAGCAGGCAGATAGCCGACGGTACAGCCGGGCAGCCTGACTCCAAGCCCACAGCCCCGGCTCAGCCAGGACACCATGGTGCACGGAGCACAGGGGCCTCACAGTGGGCAAGGCCTGCACAGGTCCCCTCACACACAGGCACTCAAGACACACGCACCCCAGCTAAACGCACAGGCCTTGATCTGCACACGGCACCTGCCTGGGCCCGCATGGGCACCCTGCCCCTGGAGCACCCCCCGCCTTGGGTCAGCAGGGAAGCTTTTGTGGGATGAGGGTCTGCTGTCTCCCCTCCCTCCCGTGACCCCTGCACCCATGAAGGCTCAGTGAAGGGGGGTGGCCCCATGCACTCACACCCCTCCTCGGCCTCTGCCACCCCCAGTGCATCCCAGCACAGCCCCGCCCGTCACCCGATGTGTGGGGCCTATGCCACCCTGGGGTGTGCTGCACCCTGCTTCCTGCCTTTCTGTTCCTTGCCGGTGCCCTTCGTGGCCTCTCAGCAGCGGAGCGTCTTGTCCCGGTGAGCGGATGCGAGGACCCTCCTTGCTTCAAGCCCTCCCTGGCGCCCCCTGTTCCTAAGACACAGGCCAACAAGGCACAGCTGTCTCGTTTTACAAGGACGCTGGCCACCTTATGAAAGATGACAACAGGCCCACATCAAGGATTCTTGTTCTTTATTCTCCATCACAAAGGGAGAACCCAGCTGTGTGAGGACAGCGGTACAAAGCCTCTTCCCACCGAAGGGCCCAGCCTCCCTGGCCTTCGGGTGCCCACAAGGGCTCCCTGTTGGGATGGAAATGTCACGGGTCTTTCAGAGAGCTGCCTCATTCTCTGCGGGCCTCCCAGGCCCTCTGCAGCATTCTGAAAGCTCTAGGCCACCTGCCCATCAGGCTCAAGCAAAAGGCTTACTGTGGGGTCAGTGGAAGGTCAAGGTCCCTGGATCAGCATCCCGATGAGGTGAATCATGCCCTTTAAGGCCGGTCCATCACCAGCTCTGCTACCCTAACCTCCTTTCAGGTGCTATGTCCCTCAGACCACAGGACCTTTGCACAGGCTTTTTCTTCATTTAAACTCTCTCCATTTCTATCTTTACCCAGTTAACGTCTTGAGATGCCTGCTAAATCATTTCTTCCACAAAGAAGCCCTCACCAACCCCCTGTCCAGATCAGACGCCGGTTAAATGTTCTCATAGCCCATGAAACATTCCGCCAAGCTACTTACTTCTACTTGTACGTTTCCGCTCAGTAGGTCATTACTAATGTCTGTCTCCTACTGGACGGTCAGCCTCACGAGGGCAGCGTCACACCTGCATTTGCCCTCCCGTGGACCCTAGCACATAGTGCGCCCTCGATACGGTATACCGAGCGAGCAGGCAGACTCCTCGGGTCATTGCTGGAGTCTGCGGGATTTCCGGGGAAGTCACAGAAGTGAAGAGATCGGGCAGATCACGAGCCCCCGGCCCGGGGCCTGGCACACTGCAGGAGCCTAGTAAAGGGTAGTCGTTTTGCCATTTGTATTGTCCGGATGATGATGACGACGACAATAACTACGACTTCTAAACTACGAGGGGCAACTTCACACCGAGAGAAGGAAGACAGGCTCTGCTCCCTGCACTCACCACTACCCCAACCACGCTCCCCCGTGGAAGTGAAGACCCGTCAAGTAGGGACAGTAATCTCCCTGAAATGCGGGGGGCCCTGGATGCTGCATGCCAGCTGGGGGTGGGGGTGCTTTGAGCTCCTCTGTGACCTGGTAGGGAGGGGGGAGGGACCCGACAGTCCTGGGTTCCTTCTACGGGCGTGGCCTCTTGCACAGGGATTTACACGGTTCATTTCCTTTCCACCCTCCAAATCTCTGAACAGTAAATCTAATTATCCATGGAGCATGGACAAGGAAGCTGGGCTAGGAGAGGTGGCGGGACTGGCCAAGGTCACACAGCCCCTAAGGGGCGGGGCTAACACTCCAGCCCTGATCTAGCTGATGCAGAGACAGTGCAACCACATCAGGCCACTGGCGAGAAAACCACCAAACCAGCCACATCTCCCCAGAGCCCGACACTGCCAAGTCCAAGTCCTCCCAACGCCCCACTTCAAATGTCAGCTGGGGGCACATCCGCCTGGAAGCCCACCTGGATTTGCCTGCCTGGCTCTGGCCCCACAGTCCTGGGTTTCTGTCCCAGGTGCACACTGGCAGAGGCTGGCAGGGGCCCCATCCTGGCCAGGCCAGGATTCAAAATGTCCCACAAGACGCACGTCTCAGAAGCTCCGCCCTCGTGGGGGAACACCCTGGTGCTAATGCAGGAAGGGCTGTGGGCCAACCCTGACCAGGAATCAAAGCTAATTTTCAGTTGTTTAGATGGCAGCTCCTCAGTGAGTCACCGTTTGGGCTCCTGTGATCCGGTCCAGGAGCCAGGGGTGCCCTCATTAAAATCAAAAGGCACTGGTGAGCCTGGAGGGGCCCTCTCCCTGGAGACCATGACTCACGGCGCTGGGGGCTCCTGGCCAGGGGCTCCCCTCTCAGGCCCTCTCCTCTGCTGCCAGTGGGCGAGGGAGCCCAGCAGGAAGGTGCGCAGGAGGAGGAAGAGATGGGAGGGCAGAGCCTAGTGTGTGGCACAGTTCACAGGCCTTCACCCTTGTGTCAAAAACCTGCCATTCAAGTCACTGCCAGGGATCCCCGCCGCCAGCTCTCCGGTCCCTCTCCAAGGTGACAGCCCCAGGGACTCTGTCCCTGACGGGTGGGGACAGGGAGTCGGGATGGGACTCCTTCCTGTCTGCAGTGTGAAACTCGGTCTCTCCTCTGGAAAGAGGCCCAGGCCAGGCCCCAACTCAGCTCTGTTTTTTTTCCCATCCTCACCCGAGGATATTTTCCCATTTATCTTCAGAGTGGGAGGGAGGGAGAGCGAGGAAGAGAGAGACAGCGACGTGAGAGGGACACACCAACTGGCTGTCTCCCGAATGACCCTGACCAAGGCCGGGGACGAACCGCAACCGAGGTACGTGCCCTTGACCGAAATCGAACCCGTGACTCTCTGGTCCGCGGGCCGACGCTCTACCCGCTGAGCCAGACCGGCCTGGGGGCCAAGTCAGCTCTGAGAGGGGTCGCTCCTGGGCCCTCAGGGAAGCTTGGGGCCGTCGTGACTTCCGTCGTGGGCCCTGGGCACCTCCGCTGTCATGGGCCTTTTCCTGCATTAACAAATAAAAAGTCAAAAGCAAATGTAATGACCTCATTGGCATGGAGACAAATAATCTCAACTGGATTATAGGAATTCTTCTGACTTTAAAGACATTAAAAGGTTTTGAGACACCATAGGTATCACGGGCGCTGGGGCACTGTGCCCACTGTCGGCGCCCAGTTGAGCTCTCTGAACTTCCTGGCCCAAATCCTGGCTCACCTTGGATTTGGGCATGTGCCTCAGCTTGCCTCTCTGTAAAGTGGGGACGATGGCAGCACCCTCCTCCTGGGGCTGTTTGAGGGTCCTCAAGATCCCACTCGTGGGGGCTCCCCGCTGGGCTGCATCGAGCTCCGCTGCAGGAGGCCAGCTGGGATGCCCCTCCTCCGCATGGGAAGACCCAGCTCCGAGCCAGGGCAAGGACCTACCCTCGGCCACGTGACGAGAGGTGGAATGAGGACTCTGGGGCCACAGATCAAGCAGCTCCCAAGCCCTGGACGTTAATGGAAGTGGTTGGTCAAGTTATCCCAGCCTCAGACCAGGAAAGGGAGGGCAGGGGCCGGAGCAGGACGCAGCCGGACAGGGGTGTCTCGTCTCCCGTTCAGCAGATGAGTTGCTGGGCGTCCATGGCCAGTGGGACTTTGACATTTCTGGCCAGGCCAGAGCTCTGGTCTCCTCCAGCCCTCCGACCGTGGGAACAGCAGCTCTCCCTGGGGCCCAGCCAGGCCGGGGCTGCTGTCTTCTCCAGCCGGCCTGGAAGGTGACATCAGGAAGCTGGAATGTGGGCTTTCCCGCTGACTCAGGCCATTTCCCCGGCACCACACTACCCCACTGGCGAGAATCTGGGAGACAGAGTTCCCACCGCGGAGCACCTCTCTGCTCGTCCACCGATTAGGAGCTTCCCTGGAAGGAACAGTAAAGGAAAATCCCTAAACTCCGCTGGCTGAGCAGCCCGCCTTCGGCCTGTAGGTTTCTGAACAAACGGCCTCCCGGGCCCCTGGTGCCCGGCCGGTGGCCCAGCTGCTCTCGGTTACCCTCTGGGTACCACGGAGGCGGGGGCGAGGCAAGGGGCGGGAGCAGAGGGCATGCTGGAGTCGCGGCCGCAGGGGAGCGGGGCAGACTTGGCGTCCCCAGGCCATGTGAACTTACGTCTCTCAGCCTCTCTGGGCCTCAGTTGCTGCATCAGCAAAATGGGGGTGAGAAAAAAATACCAAGAACGAAAAGCACCTGGCACAGCCCTGCTCAGAGCTCCATCAGCAGAGCGAGCAGATGATTTGGGGAAGGGGCGCTTTGATGGATGGGAAAGGCACGAGCACAGAGAGCCAGGGTGGCCCCTCCCCCGGGCACTTGGCCAGTGCCGGACCTGGAAATACACTGCATCACTGGGCTCCCAGGGGTTAATGAGGGGGAGTGGACAGGCCCAGTATGTAATGAGCCGAGAAGGTGCCCAGAGATCAGAAGTGTCCCTGCTCACTGCCTCTGCCGCAGCCCAGCTCGGCCCTGCTCCCTCTCCTCCCCAGGATGAAGCCTCCTCCTCTTCTGACCTTCCTGTGCCTTCTGGGTAAGTGACCTTTGTGACCGTCACCTTTCTCCTGACCCAGCTGGGAACCCCACACTCCCTGGAGGCCCTGAGCCTGGCCCTGGGGAGGGTGTGGTGGGTCACCCTGAGGCCAGTCCCGCGTGAGCCAGCACTGACCATTGGAGGGGGAGGTGCAGCCAAGGTGGCCTGGGGGACATGAGAAAGGGCTGCAGGGACCCCAGGCAGCACACACGGGGCTCCTGCCACCCATTCTCCGTCCCCCACCCTAGCTTCCATTTTTGGAAGGATCTGGAGGAATTGGGGGAAGTCCAGGTGGTTACGAAGCCTAGCCGGGGGGCAGGGGTCTGCCACCTGGGGAGATGATCCAGGCCGTTGGGAGACGTTTGGGGACAGCGGGGGTCACCCTGGGAGATGGAGGAGGGTGGGAGGGGCGGCTGCAGTGCTGTGAGCGGGGAGAGGCCACGGGGATCCGGTGCAATGGCTGTCATGGAGCGAGCACCACTGACTCTGCAAGGCTAACTGGACAGTCAGAGAGATGTCTGGACTAGAATGGAGGGGAGCTCAGGGGCCCCTCAGGGACCTGATGGCACCTGCCCACCTCCCGCAGTGGCCCTGGCTGGGGGGAACCTGGTCCAGTTCGGGGTGATGATTGAGAAGGTGACCGGGAAGTCGGCGCTGCAGTACAACGACTACGGCTGCTACTGCGGCATCGGCGGCTCCCACTGGCCGGTGGACGAGACGGACTGGTGAGCGGGCAGCCCACGGGGAGCATCCTGGGAGGAGGGAGGAGCTGAGGCCTTCCAGAAAGTGGGGCCGACCTGTCCCGGGGCCCGGAGCAGAGCATGACCCTTGCAGGTGCTGCCACGCCCATGACTGCTGCTACGGGCGTCTGGAGAAGCTGGGCTGCGAGCCCAAGCTGGAAAGATACATTTTCACTGTCAGCAGGTGCAACATCCTCTGCGGTGAGTGAACAGCCCCAGGTGGTCCAAACACTGGGGAGGGCTGGGGCCAGACAGGAACCCCTCCTGATGGTGGCTCCTGAGCCAGACCCTGGGCTGGACGGGTCGGGTCTTCCATCATCACAGAGCCGGGGTGAGGCGTGTTCATCACCCAGATGCTCACCTGGCACCCAACCTAGAGAGCCCTGTGACCCGTCTGCTCCTGCCCTGGCCCGGGCACAGCCCCCCATCCGGAAGCCTCCCAGCACCAGCCTCTGGGGAGCAGAGCAAAGGGGCGGAGCTGAGCCGGGCCCCCAGGAGCTGTACTGATGCACCCTCCCCAGGCCTGGGCGGCGGCTGTGGGTAAAGTCCCAGGACAGAGCCTCGAGGACATCGTCTCAGACAGGGAGAGCGGAAACTTTGATCTGGGACAACCCCATTCCCGAAGGCTGACCCCCAGTGGGGCTGCCAGGCTGGGCCCATTTGCTCAGCCTTGCCAGGTCGAATGCCCACTTGGACCAACTAGACTTCCTCTGGTCCCCATCCCGGGAAACGGCCTGAACCAGGTGACAGAGAGGAAGGAGAGTCCCCTGGGGAGCCCAGGTCAGATAACCAAGCCCTCTTCCTGCTGCAAAGCCAGGGCAGCCTGGAGGGAGAGCGGCCCAGCAGGGAGGAGAGGCACAGGGAGGTCAGAGAAGTCAGAGCTCAGATCCCTCCGCTGGTGCTGGGGGCGGGGAGGGGCGGGGAGCGGGCCCAGCAGGGAGGAGAGGCACAGGGAGGTGGGAGAAGTCAGAGCTCAGATCCCTCCGCTGGTGCTGGGGGGGCGGGGCCAGGACCAGACGAGTGGCAGCAGCTCTGGCTCAGTGTCCTGCCCCTGCAGCCATCTACTCCACAAGGCCGCTTTGTCAGGGAGTGAGCTCCCCATCACTGGGGCTTCATGCAGGGCCGAGATGGCCACCTGTCAGGACAGCACTGGGAGGTGTCAGGCGGGTATGGACAACAGGCCCGGGGCTTGACCTTCTACCTGCTGTGTGACTTCGGGGAAGTGATGGAACCCCTCGAAAGCCTCTGCCCCTCCTCTATAAAATGGACTTGATCACGCTCACTTGCCCAGCGTTAGTCCAGCTCCCAGCGAGAACCACCCAAAGCTCTGCCGGGACAGCTAAGCCCCTGTCGGCTCAGTTTTGCTGAAATAGCAGCACGGGCAGAACCCCGGTGGGAGACGGAGCCTGACCTTGGACAAGGGACATGAGCCTGGGCATTTCTGAGCTGTGGGATGTATTCCTGGGGACAGAAAAGAGCCAGAGCCACTCGCGCAGCCAGAGGCGGCGAGAGAAGAGGCATCTTCGGGCCCCTAGTGCCCGGTGCCAGTTCTGCTCCCCTGGCTGGGTGTGGGCACACACGAGGAGGGGGGATGGTTACGGTAAATGCCAGAAAAATGGGCTCCGTCCACTGATGGAGACCAGCATAGGGGCCTCAGCTCCAGTCCCAGCAGCTCCAGTCTGGGCAGCCTGCTCTGGGCGGGCACAGGCCCCCTGGGGTCGGGCTGCGGTCATTCAGTAATTTTCCTCTCTGCTTGCTGGCTGCAATCCACCCTCAGCAATGCTCAGAGAGGCTGGAGCTGCCTAGAAACCCCCCCAGGCTGGGGCAGGTGAGAGTTAGTGAACCAGCTGCCCCCGCGGTGGGGGGAGTTAAGGGCAGAGGAGCGGATGGGGCGGGGGACAGCTTGCAGCCTTCCAGCACCCTGTGTCCCACCCTGCCTCTCACCCACCCCCGAGACACCCCCGTGAGGAGCTCCCAGCAGCAGGGGCTGAGTATGGACCCTGGAGCGGTCCCACACCTGCGAGTGCAGCAGGCCGGAGCCTCTGGCCCCTGACTCACCTTGTCCCATCAGCCGGCAGAACTGCCTGCCAGCGACAGACCTGCGAGTGTGACAGGACGGCTGCTCTCTGCTTCCGCCAAAACCTGGGCACCTATGACCGCAAATACGCCCATTACCCCAACAAGCTGTGCACGGGACCCACCCCGCCCTGCTGAGCCGTGCCCCAGCTCCTCTGCTGTAGCCCGAGGCCTGGGGAACATTGGCACCAAAGACCCTCCTTCTGGAAAATTCCTTTCCTGCAACCCACCCCTCCCTGAGGATGCCCAGATTGTGGCCTGGATCATGGCTGGCCTCCCAGGCCACCGCCCCCTTCAACACCCAGAAGACTGTAACCCACCCCCGGAATCTCAGCCACCTGCTCTGAAGAAGTGAATAATGCTTCCCGCCCTCCTAACGTTCTCTGGCCCTCAGATCCCATCCCTGTAGGACTCGGTTAACCTGCGGCTTTCATTCACTCATTCATTCCTTTCGGGAGCCCTCCTGTACGCTAGCAACGAGCTGAGCCCCGAGCAGCAGCTGGGAGGAATCCGACCCGGGTGGCCCCTGCGTGCCATTCCACCATTCTGTCCTTTTCACTTTCCATGATAGTTTCTGTGCTTCTTTTTCTAATACTCTACAATCTTGCCCAAGACAATAATGGCAATCTCCGGAAGGAATATTTCTGGCCATGTGGTGGGATGTGAGGAGCATGAAAAATACCAACCTAAAAATATTGTCCCCATTGTGCCATCAGGCACCGAATCCCTCCCATCACAGACTCAGTAAAAAGTAGCTCTGGGACCATCTTAGCCAAATTCCTTTTGACAGGCAGGCGCCCAGGGCCCAGAGAGGGCAAGTTCTAGCTGAGGGGTGCTCACTAGCTGAGGCCAGTGCATCTTCAGTTCTTCACCAGTCGGTACAAGCCACTGACACCAACCCTCCATGCTGGACAGACCAGAGCTCCGGGGGCAGGGCAGCCTCCTGATTCAGGGAGGGGAGGAGAAATTTCCACATTGTGGGGCTGGCTCTTGCATGGTGGGGTATTTAATGCATCAAAGGATTCCCAGGAGGTGGCAGGCAGCCTGTCCTGGAAGCGACATGGAGCGACATGGAGCGGCAGATTCTACTCCCAGACCTAGATATGAGATCTCCACTGTCTATAATACACTGATAAATCTTCCAGGATTGGGGTGAACCTATTCAATGAGATTGAGGGCGCAAAAAGGCATTGCATAGGGCAAAGGTCACAGTGGACATGCAATAAAGAAATCAAAAGGATGGTTGTCATATATGTCAAAAGGTGAAGAAGTTCTATGCCAGCCAAAGGATGGAGGCAGCTGTGTGAGCTTTGCTCGGTCAAGAACCACCAGGTCAGGTTTTAAAGCAAAAATAGGCACATTTGTTGGAAAAGTGGTCCTGAGGCGCCCTCTTGTGGTCATTTTATTCAGGCTCCTAGAAGGAAACCGATGTTGCTTTGAACTTGTATTTCCTTTCATGGGTGTGAGGGCAAAGTATGTTTCTGGGCTAGTGAAATCGGTCCCCTTGAATTTTCAATAATAAATATGCTAAAAAACAACCAAGTAAGTTTTTACAACCATCTTAGACTGCTGGTACAGCTGCATAAATGAGAAACTTGGGAAGAAGAAACTGACTTGGGAGAGATGGAGAGGTTATGTTCCAGGTGGGATAGATTTCAGGTAGCAATGGGACAAGGACCTGGTGGTCTAGCAGCTGTGTAACCATCTGACAAAGTGAAACTGGAACTTAACACGACTTCAGTACCCCTGTTGTGACCTTCTGGCCACAGACCAGGTGGTATCCTTTGCTTTCCCAGGGATCAATAAATGTTTGGTGAATGAATCAATGGGTCTGTGTTAAGTTCCGTGTGTATGTATGTGTCCATACTACACACTTGATTTCCTGTTGCAGATTTGTGGGAAGGACTGAAAAAATAAAAGAGAACCCTGGACTTGAGGTCAGAGGGTCCAGGGACAGACTTGTGCCCCTTGTCGGCAATGCACCTGTTTTTGAGGCCCACTGCGCAGTGTGGCCTACGACAGCGGCAGGCTTGTTACAAATCTCAGATCTGACCCGACCCACTGAGTCAGAATCTATAGGGTAACAAGACCCTCCTCCCCTGGTGACTGGTGTACACACCGAAATCTAAAAAGCACTGACATATGCAAATAGCCTCCGCTTCTGCAGAACAGAACAATGACATTTCCCCAGCAGGCTGACTGTGGCAACGCTTAAATATGTTAGCATGTGTGAAAGTACACAAAATGTGCCCAGCACATAATAAGCATTCATGTCGTATGAATGAATGATAGTCATAACAACAATATTAGCTGCTATCTATTAAGCATTTGGCATTTACCAGGCACTGTTCTAAGTATTTTTTTAGTTCATTGAAAGGAAGACAGAAAGAAAGGAGGGAGGGAGGGAGGGAGGGAGGGAGGGAGGCTACATCGATGCTGGAGAAGGACCTTTGCTGCCCGAATGTTCCATAGCTTGCCTCTCCCATCTTGATAACAGGATTTGGATTGGTTTTGCTTTTGTTCCCACTTAGCCCCTAAAAAAAGCTATTAACGAAGTGTTCAGTTCAATGACTTGCTTGGCATTCCCGCGTTGATGTCAGTTTGACTATGATTTCATGGACATTCGTCTGCTTCTTTGGGGCGCTTTGCAGTGTCCCTGCTGCAAACCGAATGCTATAGTCAGGTTCATTCTTTTCTACCAACCGTGCTCCTAGCTCCTGGCCGAAGGGGGACGTGTCCAGCCAGCAGGCAGCCACCTGTTATTCCACACTAGTAAGTGCTGGCCCAGCTCAGGTTGGAGTTTCGGAACCAAAGGCTCTTCAGCCCTCCATCCTCCACCCAGTCTCCATCCCGTCACTCCCCTGCCCCCTGACCATCGGTGGCTGCCCACTGTCCGCCAATCCCTGGCGTGCATGCTCAGTGCCACCTGCTTTTCCAGCCTTGTCGTCCAGCCGTTATTTCTCTATGCTCCTCACCATTCCCAGAGCGTGCCCCCTGCCTTCCTGCCGTCACGCCTCTGAGCAATGGCTTCCTTCAACCTAGAAGCTTCCATGTCCACAGGCTCTCGTCGGCATGTCCACATCCCCATGGGGTAAGGCACACCTCAAAGGCCACCTTTTCCATAACAGTTTCCCCTGGGGCAGGTTTCCCCTCCTCTGAACACCGAGCAATGTGCTCATACCTTTCCTGGTGCCGCTTACCCCGGTTATTTGGGTTCCTGTGTTGTGTTCCTACACGGTGGAGGCAGGTTGCCCAGGGTTCAAATCTACGACCTTGGACTAGTCACTCCCTCGTGTGTAAAATGGGGATGAACCATTAGCCTACAGGGTGGTTTTAAGGTTTAAATGAGACGTTTTCAAAGTGCCCGGAGCATCAGGACTAGGTCACTTGACGCTTTTTCTCCCCATTGTATCCATCACACAGTAGATGCTAAATAAATATCTGTCCTGTGGAACCCACGGGCATGTCACTGGGGTTATTTTAGGAAGTGGCATCATGCATAGGATGAATATCACACTCATTTATTTGAATAGCCCCTTGGCTCACTGCACTGAGTGCTCATTCATCTCAAGTGGACACGTTTGAAAACCCATCCACCTTCAGTGCCCTGAAGCGAAGTCCCAGAGGGGCAGAGGCCAACCCTGCTGGAGCGAGCTCCCGGCGTCTCTCCGGAGGTCCGCTCCTGGGGTGCGCGCCAAGGTCACAGGCACACGTGCCAGCTCCCAGCACCGTGGGGACAGACCGGCCTTCGGAATTCACTCAGCAAGACAAGCATGTCACAGTAGCAAAAGGCACACGGCCAGTGTTCGTAACCAGTCTCTCCAAACAAACTGCATGTCCTTCATCAATTTTGCCCTACACACGGGGACAGCCCACTCTAGGGTTTTGTTTATGCTGGTCCTTCAGTCCAAAATGCCTTCGCTCCCCATTTCCAGACCCCGTCTCCCCTCCCACGCCCGGTCCAATGTCATCTTCCCCACCTGCCTTCCTGGAGTCCCCCTGAGCTCACATCAGCACCTCCATCAGCGGCCTGTGTTCTCTCCCCTGCACTCCGGGGCTGGCGGCTGAGGACAGGGTCGCCTCTGATTCACTGCCCAGAGGGAGGACCCAGGCGCTCACAGGGTCAGTGGATGTGGATGGATTCTTGGATGTCTGGATGGGTGAATGAGCTGAATAAAAAAGGAATGTCTGAGACACCGGTGTCCTGCCACCAGAGGTCCGGACAAGGCCCCCGAGGTGGGAGATGTTCCTTCTGCCGAGCCAGCGTCGATGAAAGCAGGACTGTGTCAATCCGTCGCAACCACAGTGTGTGACAAATGACTGCACTCGAGGCACACGTGCAGGTGCGTGGGGGGGGGGGGGGGCTTTGGGGTGTGTCTGGTCAACGGGTAACTCTGAGCCTGGATTCCCGCCCGGCCTTCTAGGCAATCAAGAGCAGTCACCGAGACACTGCCCCCTTCGGGCAACCCAACCTCTGGCTTCGGCAATTCTCTCCCGAGTCAATGCTGCCTGCAGCCTAGAGAACACACATGACCACCTTGTGTTCTCCAATTATGAAGCATCCTGTCGGACACCCAGTCTCAGAGAACCTTACAGGTCCCAACCTGTCAGGGTGCCCCGCCCGCTGAGGCCTGAGATTAAGGAGCCCAGAAAAGTAGTTCTAGGCGGGACCTTTCGGCAGGAATCTCAGCTGGGTGGACAGGGCCAGAATCTGCCTGGGCCCAGGAGCCAGATGCAGTTTCTGCACCCAGGTCTCTGGGTCACAGGATGAGGCAAAAGCAAACAAGGACAGGGACTGAGGAAGACCCTCCTCCGCACCAGACGCTTTGTGCTGCCCGGTGGCAGAGCCCACGCAAGGCTACGGCGGAGGACGAATCGGAGCCAGCCAGCGGGGTCTGGAGGGGCAAGGCCAAGGCGGGCCTGCTGAAACGGGAGGACCCCAGGTATGGGCTGGGCCCCTGTGGGAGGCACTGAGGGACTCCCCTCCCTCTGGTTTTCCGTGGCCACCCCTCCCCCACCCCTTCTGAGACCCTCTTCTAGTGAGTCAGTGCTGTGTGCCTGGCCTCCTCCTGGAAAGGGGTCAAACCAACTCTCAGGGTTCGAGAGAAACCCCCAGGTGGCACAGACAGCTGCCCCTTATCTCCACGCTCCAAGCCTTCAGGGATCCCAGCATGCAGCCCTGGGGTACCCCCCCCCCCAACAGCACCATGCTGCTGTTTCAGCTCAGTGAGGGCCCAGACGCCTGCGCAGTGCAGACCTCAGCGGAGGGACACACCCCTTCCGCACGAAGCTCCCCAAGGGGCACTTCTCGGACTGCTCTGACTCCCGCCCCCAAGAACACGCAGCAGCCTCCTTTAAACTAGAATTTATTGGTATACAATCCATTTTCATAGATAAAGTGGCACATCTTTGCAGCTTCTATTGCACCAAGTATTAAAGATTAAAAACACAAAGAAACATTTGGTTTTGAAAACACTGCAAATAGCCAAGTACAGTACTTTGGTAAATAAACAATAAAAGGGCTGGAGTTAACACAACGTGTGGAGAGGAACCAGCTAGAGGAACGCACTGGGCGGACAGGCCACGTCCCCCGCGCCGTGGGTAAGGCTTGCTCCGGCTGCGGGCAGGACCCCACGGAGGGCTCACACTTCTCTCCGGCTGACGCCAGAACATAGTGCAAGTAGAGAGAGAGGAGGTTCCTGAGCCTGGGCCGAGCCACGTTCTCCACGGACACACACCCTCCTCCGCCAGGGCTGGCGCCACCCGCGTCCGAGTCAGCAACAGGGACGGAGGCTGGCACCCGGCTCTTCTCTCCCCGCTGAGCTCCGTGCTGGTGGGAGATGCTGGCAGGCAGCCGGGGAGGCCGAGGGCCCTCCCCACCAGGGGAGATGAACAGGAGTGTGGGAAGATTGAGGGGCCCCGCACCAGCTTTCCCCAAGTTTGGGTCGAGGGACCTGTCAGGGGATCGAACTGCAGGCTGAGGTCTGTGACCCTCAAACGTTTGCCAGGGACGCTGGTGGCAGCGACCTGCTGGAAGCTGACCAAAAGGCTCGGGGCAGACCAGAGATCTGTCCAGTGATTGTCACCTTCCACAGTCACCAGCACAGTGAGCGACCAAGAGCTGCACCCTGGGTGTGCCCTGCTTAAAATAAAGTCACTGTGCAGAGTCCTGCTTTTACAGAAGTGGGCTCTTCCCTGGTCCACCTGTTCTCAAGAACGCTGGAGGATGCTAACCATTTGAATTGAGCTACAAAGTAGTCTCAACTAGGCGAGAGAGACTCTAGGAAACGAGGCCGAGGGTTTTCCAGGGAATGTACGCTGGAGCGGAGCAGGGCCAGGCAGTCCAAGGCCACCCTCCCCCGGCGCCAGGCGGGGTACACGTCAAACCAGCTATCTGTCCCCCTAAGAGGAGACGGCAGGAGGCCCGCTCTCATTTAAAGATGCCATCTAGATCTAGCTCCTAAATTCAACACCCGTGGAAACGCAGGACTCGCCCCGAGTCGGGCAAACCCCCCCTGTAAGCACGGCGTGACAATCCCGTCAGAGCAGCGCCGGAGGCCGAACGTCCACCTGCCCTGAGCCGAGCTGGAGGAGCGTGGACCGTGAGAAAGGCCGACCCGGAGGCGCATCGACTGCACCTGCGGGCCTGCTGTGCCTCCAGGCAAGAGGGTGGAGCCATGCTCGGCCCAGGGCGGGAGCCACAGATGTGACGCAAATCAAGAAGCTCTGTGCTCATTGCCCACAAAGACCCTCTGGTCAGGGCGACTTAGCTGACTGGGACTCCAGGTCTCCCTGAACCGACTGAATGGGCAGTCAGATGTGTCCGAGGTGAACTGAGCGCATCCTCTGTCAACCCGGTCAACCCAGGCAGGGGCTCGAGTTCCTCAGAAGGAGAGAAATTGCACACTGATGACAGGCACTCACTAGGAGCACAGTTCAATGCCAGTCCATCTGATATCCACCTACTCAACGGGTGAGCAGCTCTCCCCGACCTGAACCCCCAACCGTATCGTTTCACACTGCAAGGCTCCCCAGGGAGGCTCCCTCACAGCCCGGCGCCTCCTGTCCCGCAGGGGAAGGCCCACTTCACAAGTCCCAGCAACCAATGGGCTTGGAGGTGTTTCCAGAACTTCTAAGAGAACCTGGAGACAACCTCAGCCGCCACCGAAGATTCTTCTTTCTGCCGGTTCCTCAGCCGGTGCTGGAGACACGTTCACACCACCGACATCAAACACGCACGCGTCCTAACAGCTCCTGGCGGCGACTCGTACCGAGCAGTCGGGGGTCTACGTGGTCTGAATGCATCTACCTCTCTACGACAAAGCTGTTGCCACTAAAATTTTGTTATTTTGAACTTTTAAAAAATCTTTTTTTTTTAAATCCCCATCCGAGGATATTTTCATTGATGAGAGAGAGAGAGAGAGAGAGAGAGAGAGAGAGAGAGAGAGAGAAACATCGATCGGCTGCCTCCCGTATGTGCCCTGACCAGGGATCGAACCCGCATCCTTTTTGGTTTATGGGACGACACTCCAACCAACTGACCCACCCAGGGCTAAAAAATCTTTTTTTTAAATTCATAAAACCTTCACATACAGTTTATAAGACTAGGGAGCAGCTCCGATCACTGCCCACCCCTTTCTCCTGGGCTCACGAGCAGCTCCTGAGACAACCCATGGAACAAATCTCTAGGAGCCAAGACGTGACAGAGGCTAGAAGACAGACTTCCTGATCTGGGCCACACGAGTAACCGTGCAGGGCAACCACTACCGAGCGCGCCACTCAGGCCTGGGCACAGCCTCCATCCTGCTGCCAATACAAGCATTTTCAAGCAACTACGAAGGCCACTTAAGTATATGGATTCCGTCCACCTCGCACTTCCGCAAGACGAGGGAGGCAGTGAGGTCTAAATCCAAACCCTTCGCTAGAAGGCATCACCAAAGTTGGAGGCATGTACCCCATTCCTAATAAGTAACATGCTAAACACAGACCAATTAGTTGTCCCCGCCACGTTGCGCTTCGACTTTCGCGGCTTCACTCTATCGCGGTTTCTTCAAATATGCTCATTAAAAACTTGATCGAGACAGTAAAAATGATAGAGCGCGTGCTCGGATGTCTGAGTCAATTATACACCCCTGTATTACAACTAAAATTGAAGTTACTGCACGTATGGACTGTAGGCCTATGTACTCGAGCACCCCAGGAATCCTCCAACGCCAGGTGCAGCCGCTAGAGTCTGGAACGGAGTAAAAGGGACGACTGTGTACCTGGAAAGCTATGAAATAGTAATAAGAGGAAATTATTGAAGCCATTTGATTAGTTTTTAGAACCATTGTTATTTTACTCCAGAAATGCTGAAGCCTGTTATCGGAATTACATAATTTATAAATAAATATGCCCAATACTCTTTATTAACTTTTTAGCAGCTTCTGAAACTTCTAAAACCTAGTAGGGCCAAGGCCACCTTCAGTAATTGATCAATAAAGCAAGCCACCGCCTTCGCACCATGGGTCCCGAGCCATTCCTGACTCCTGACTGCTGAAGTTCCGGCACGCACCGTGATCCTCGGGGGGGTCCGCTCTCCTGCACGCTCACAGTACACACCCGACAAGAAGGCTCCCTCAGAAAAGCTCGGCTAGTCTCAGCAATCTGCCAGAGCTGAAAGCCGCGACCTCACAGTGGGGACAGTGAGGCAGGGCCCTCCCTCGCCTGGACCAAGCTCCAGTGCCTCAAAGCCAGGACTCCGCACGGGGCGCGCGGCAGGCTGGGCCGCTTCTCAGCTGCTCAACAGTACAGTGCATTGTACCGGGAAGACCTCAAGCCACAATGTCCCAGGAGCAGTTCCTGAAGAGACCACTGATGCTCCAACCACAGAAAGTCCCCAAAGGAAAAAGAACAAAAAATTAAAACACATCATTAAACCAGAGAAAGCAAACCGCCCATTGAGCCAATCAATGAATCCAGGGCCAGCCCAGACAATAATAGGTCAACACATGTCAATACTTCATAGTTTTTCCCTCAGAACTTCTAAATCTGAGGTGGAGGGGTGGTAACAATTCACCTTCTGATTCAGCATCTCTTACTTGTCTAAATATTAGGTCCCCCAAAGGCAAAGACTGTCCAAGACTGGCCACTTGCGACATCACCGTTTGAAAGCCCATGTGCCCCTCGGTCAGTTTGAGGAAGGACACATCTCACTGGCCAATCTTTCCATTTCAGCATCGCGCACCACCCGAAGTCCCCAGCGATGCACGCCCTCTGCCCTGCGGCCCAGCTACGTCCCTGACAGCGTACGGGGGACGCTGCAGTTTTTCCAACCTCTGAATCCCAAACGGGGTTTATGTAAACTAAAGAGAAATAAATGCAGCATTTTGTAGGATTTCATTTTCACAATACTAAGAAAATTCAGCAACAGGCCAAGTTATTTTTTGTTTCTCTAAGGCATCTAAGTCTAGAAAAGTAGGGAAGAAAACAGTTATTTACAATGAGAAGATGAAGAACTTTAGATATTCTTCCAGACATTCCCCCTACAAAACCAAACAGCTCTTCACACTCTTCCTAGGCAAACACTCAGGAATCCCTCAGTTTCTCCCTTTACAACTCTCCATGCTGTCAGAACCCCAGAACTGTACCATATGCAGTAACACGCCATCTTCCCATCATCAAAAAACAAGTACCAAAATCTCAACACCACGATCGGCTTTCAGCAGAGCCAGGCCTATCAACAAGCAGGCGCGTCTCCTAGGGCCCGAGGGGGAGTGAACGGCCAGCACCTGCACCTGCACCTGCACCCAGCACCTGCACCTGCACCCGCACCCGCACCCACACCCGCACCCGCCTGCAATGACTCCAGACTCAGGAAGGAGAGACCCGGAGCCCCTCCCACCCTGCTGCGGGCCACACCCATGTCACGGTACTTGAGAACCCGTCCTCTGGACCGCAGGCCGATGCTCTAACCGCTGAGCCAAACTGGCCAGGGCCAGGAGAACACTTCCTGAAGTATTTTCTGATGAACTTGGATTAAAAGAAAATGAAATCTAAACATGTTCCTGAGTTGATCATTTACAAACTATCCTGGATATTAACTATATCTGAAAATGAAAGAGAAACAAAAGAAACTTCTCATTCTGAACTTCTAGTGATTAATCTAAACGACATCGTGAACAATTACAGCAAAACTCACCCCAAAGGTTAAGGAAAGACGCCAGGATCAGAGCTCTGATTTGCAGAACAAACCAAACCACACCTAGAAGGTATTTCCTGATCTACCGTCCACCCTGAAACTCAACCTTTGATCACAGAACACGACCGGCTTCCCTGGATGTTCATAAAATAACACACATCACTAACAAAAAAACTCAGAACAACAAAGGGGCGGCCTGGACAGCAGCTCAGAGCGGGAGCTCCCGCGTGGGCCCTGCGGGCGGGCCCTAGGGGCGGCCCCACGGGAAGCCTGGTGCACAGCGCCCGGCAGGCAGTCAGATGTTGAGAGCAGCAAAGGTCTTCACCAAGGTGACCTGCCCGTTCTCCTCGGCGTCGCTCCTGTTGTCCCTGTGGCGACTCCTGCTCTCCAGGGCTTTCAGACGGTGCCGCTCCTCCTGTCGCTTCTTCTTCTCCAGGCGCTGCTGCTCTCTCCGCTGCTTGTGGGTCACCTGAAGGGAAGATGCGCTGAGTGGCCGGCTCCTGCCCCGGGCCGCCGCCTGCGGAAGGGGACGCGGGCGGACGAGGCACAGAGCACAGGCCACCTCCCAACAAGAGCAGAGCAGAGAAGACCCCTACCAGACCTGCATGGATTGGTTTCCATTACTGCTCAAGTTTCCATTCCCAGTGATATCTCCTTGCTGAGCTAGCAAACAAAATCAATCCCATTCTCCTCATAAACCAACTCACAGTGACCTGAGAAACATGAACCCTAGGCCAGCAAGACATAACCCTCCAACACGCCATGGGACACCTTTCTCTCATAGTGTGATGCCCGGACAACCCTAACAAACTCCTCAGAAGCTTCGTGCTGTGGCTTTGTACCTCATGCTGTATTCTGAGCTCCTAGTTTGTTGGGGAAGTCTTTAAAATGGTGTCATCTATTACTTGTGGGCATGGGGTCAGTGAGGGAGATGTACAACCTTTCTGGGAAGCACTTGACAATTTACCAAAAAGCCTTAAAATTTTTCAAATATCCATGCCCTTGAACCTGTCGAGTCCTCTTCTGGGACTCTAGCCAAGAAAGTAATGCAAAATACACAGATTCATACAAATAAATCATGCAGGTATTCACTGCAGATGATGGTCTTTATAAAAAATGGAATTTTATAATGTGAATTCCCATGGACAGAGTATACACACAGTAACGTTAGGTGGGAAGGGGGGATGTATGTGCACACACAGTCCAGTTCCAGTGTGCACTGGCTTCCAGCCCTCACTGCGTGCACCAAGCGGGACAAGCAAGGCCTTCATTCTGCTTCCTGCTACACCTGTACACACTCCCGTACTTTCTACAAAGACTACTTTATAAATCAAAAGACAATTACACACTGAAACGAGCTCCAAGTTCCCACCTCTGCCACCGAATTCCAGCAGCCCACCCTCTGCCCTTGCAACCCACCTTCCATACCTTTGGGAGCTGATTTCTATTTGCCTTGTTTTCTTCGCTAGGGCTGGCCTGCGCCCTGCTGGGTTCCGTCCTGCCTTCAGTTACGCTCTGATTTCCAAAGACTCTGGTGCCAGTGCCCCCCTCCTCCCATGAAGGGCCACTCCGCTGCAGCGCTCGGCCCCTGGGCTCGGGGTTCTCCTCGGCGTCTGCCAGAGAAAGACAGTCCATTACAACAAGAACCTAGACAGTTACCCAATTCAATTCTTGTTAAATGACTCCAAAATTACCTGGCTCCCTAGTTCACTGTCATTCGGACAGCAAGTTTCCTAATATCAAGTCAGTACAGCAGGGGCACAGGGAGAATACTGGTAAAATCTGGAACACAGATTTAACGGTCACCTGCTGACCAGCCTTGTCGTCGGCTTCCCACCAGCAGAATGCTCTGCTTCATTAGACAAACCATTTTTAACGCAAGTATTTAGGGGGAAATCTTTCATTTGCAGCCAAATACCAGAAAAGAAACAGTCTCTAAAGCTGTGCCACTAGCTACATGTGGCTTTTTAAATTACAGTTAAATACAATTTGTCCAGCTGGTGCGGCTCAGTGGTTGAGCGTTGACCCATGCACCAAGAGGTTGCCGGTTCGATTCCCGGTCAGGGCACATGCCCAGGTTGTGGGCCTGATCCCCAGAGTGGAGGGCATACAGGAGGCTGCCAATAGATGTTCTCTCTCATCCATGTTTCTATCTCTCTCTCCCTCTCCCTTCCTTTCTAAAATCAATTAAAATAAAATTAAGTTAAATACAATTTAAAACTGAGTTCCTTGGTCTCTCTTGGCCACATGTCAAGCACACAACAGTGGACACACAGACACTGGACAGTGCCGGTTTAAAGTCACAAAGACCGAGTTCTTCACTGCTTTCTAAGAAGGCACAGCAAGCACAAAAGTGGATATCAAGTACCCCATCACATAGAATACTGATGCCAGAACAGTGTCTGGCACATAATATCTGGCAGTAAGTATTGAAATCATTTTCAATAAATGACTTGAGAAAACAGTTAAGACATCCCATCTTTTTTCCTTCCTCTGTGTCATAAAATTAAACTCAGTTCAAGTAAAAATAATTCTGAATTATCACCAGTTGACAGATGCTGGCAATCTAAATATTTCCATCAGAAAAATAAGGTCTTTTTCTCTTCATTCCATTTTGATTGTCATTCTGATTTTATGAAGGAATCGTATTTCTAAAAGGATAAAGTCTTCTCTGACACTCTCCATCCTGCCAAAACTGGGTTAGGGATCTCACGCATCCCCCTGCACCTGGTACCCGCAGCTCCATTAGGTACTATTGTGCCACTTTCCTTACCTGTCTCCACCACCCTCATCCACCCCACCCCCCGACTACTCTCCCGGATGCAGGACTAGAACCTGGCACAGCCTGCATAGCAAGTGCTCAGGAAACAACTGCTGAATGAATGAGTGAAAGGACAGTATAATTAATACCTGTGACTTGATTAAAAATAAGTATTTGAAAAATCACCAATACAATCAAAAATCTCCAATACAGCTCTGGCTGGTTTGGCTCAGCGACTAGAGTGTCGGCCTGCGGTCCAGAGAGACCCGGGTTCGGATCCCGCTAAGGGCACGTACCTTGGTTGCAGTTTGTCCCCGGCCCTGGTTGGGTCGTGTGGGTGGCACCACTCGACGTGTCCCTTTCATGTCAATGTTTCTCTCTCTCTCTCCCCCTCCCGCTCTATCTGAACAAAAAATCGAAAAATGTCCTCGGGTGAGGATAAAAAAAAAATCACCAATACAAACATTTGAAAGCTTATAAATATCGAGCGTGGACTTACTATTTCTTTTCTCCTGGTTCATCTGAAGCATGGCAATTACTGCAGATTCAATATTATAGTTTTCAGCTTCCAGGTTCTGGACTATCAAATTAAAATCCTATTCAAGAAACAAAGGAACACTTCAAGACTCTGGGAATACTTTCCTACCTCTCTCTACTTCAACAGTGTGATCAACAAGATGGTGTCCTAGTGAGAATTGAGACAAGGTTTCAAGGCCTTTTTTCCATTTAGAAAAATGTCGATTTTCAATAAGGTTGGTCATCTGAATAACCAGTTAATATAAATGAATTCCCCTTACAAAATGCTTTTACTTGTACAAACACTAATCAGAGGGGGAAAATCCACATACTTCCGTAGGATTCTGAGTAGTACTGGGTCAAGTCTAGCAAAGAAGAGAGAAATGAATAAACAGCTCCCATTAAGTTGTATCACACCAGCTCATCAAACTACAAATACGGTGGCCCACTGCGGCCCCGCGGGGGCTGGCCTGCTGGGGTGCAGCGCTTGTCTGACCAGGGCCCCTGCGGACAGATACTAACTGAGCAGCCCGTCGCACTGCACACTTTCTGCACAGCATCCTCCACCTCGTCTCGCAGCTCGTCTTCAACGTCGACCCCCTTTGTCTTGACCTTTTCTCTTTTATTTGATTCATCCTGATGAAGCATCTGAAACTAAAAGAAATACTGTCAGTAATTATCATGGAACTCTTGCATACTATGTTCAGAATCTTCAACATAGGAAGACACTCTCATCTCAAAAACATTCAAATATACAGGGAAAAGATTCTAGAAACAACCTTAAGAGCTAAGACCAGGCTAAATTTCACGCTGATATCGAGACTCCAGCCCACAATAGAAGTATGAAAGAGAACGGCCCAGGACAGGGGATGAAGTGTCAGCAGGAGTGGCATTAGCACTCCTATGGTTTCCGGGTATCTCCCTGCTGGCCCTGGCTGCTGACTCAGCACGCATTGGGCTCAGCTGACTTCCAGGTGTGAGTCTAATGACAGAAGCGATCCTCTGCACTAGCCCCTGATGAGCTCCGCAGCAGGACAGCAGGTCTTGAAGAAACACCCATACACCTCTCATCTGGCCCCCTAGGTCCGATGTGATTGTCAGCAAGCCCTGATGTGCTGAAGTTCCTGTCCCGGCTGGACGGCCACAGTGACATGACTCATCTAACCTCACATGTGTACCACCACACTCAAGGGACTCTGTCAATACAAGTTCTAAAACCACAAACAGTAGTTCGTTTAGTATCCACAGGGCCTTTACAACCTATGCCTAAATCAGAAAAGCTAATATCATCCCTCTGCAGGTGCTCAATCCCTTCCCCTTCTGCTTGCTATTAGCACAAGGAGATGGGAAATGGGCAAGGACAATTCTATTTTCTGCATGAAAAAGTATAAGTGAAATCCAGCAACGTGCTTTATAGAGGGTTAATAAAAAGCAACTCATTATAAAATTATATTCTAACAATTTGGCAATGTGTATCAGGAGTCTTTGAAATGTATCCAAAGAAAATAATGCCAAGTATTAGAAAGGATTTACATAAACTGCTCATCACACTGCTACTAACAGTGATGAGTAACTGGAAACAAGCTAACGAATTCACAATGTGGGTGTGGTCAATAACCACGGTAAATCCATAACATGATGCTTCATTCCCACTACAGTAAGGAACACAACAAGGACTTTCCCTACCACCATTATCATTTAACGTTTAGGAGGCAACAGTCAACTAGCCAAACAAAAATTAGAAGAATCAAATTAAAAAGGAAGAAGAAAAGCTATCACTATTGGCAGATGATAATTCTATTCCTAACAAAACAAAAAACAAAAAAACTACAAACATAAAGAATTATGGCAAATCATATATTTTATAAGAAACTAATATCCAGAATATGTAAATAACTCTTACAACTTAACAACGATGAAAGCACAAGTAACCCAATTAAAACATGAACAAAGAACTTAAGATTTCTCCAAAGATACAAATGGCCAAGAAGCTCATGAAAAGATGCTCAACATCATTAGTCACTAGGGAAAAGCAAATCAAAACCACAAGATACCACTTCACACCTAGCAGGATGGCTATACTTTTAAAAACAGAAATATAACAAGCACTGTTGTACAGGTAGAGAAAGTGGAACACTCACATTACATTGCTGATAGAAATGTAAAATGTGCAGCTACTGTGGAAAACAGTGTGGCATGTACTTCAACAGAATTATCATGACTCAGCAATTCCACTTCTAGTATAAATCCAAAAGACTGAAAACAGGTACTGAAACAATCTTATACACAAATATTCACAGCAGTGCTATTCACAATAGCTAGAAGGTGGATACACCCAAACACACCTTAGCAGATAAAGGGACAAACAAATGTGGTATGTCCATACAGTGAAATATTATTCAGCCTCAGAAAAAAGGAACAAGGTGGTGGTATATGCTACAATATGGATGAACCTTGACAACAGTATGACCATACACTGTATGATTCCATTTGCATGAAATATCCAGAACAGATAATCCATAGAGACAGAAAGTGGACCAGTGGTAGCTGGGGACAAGGCACTCAGGGAGTAACTGCTTAATGGGCGTGGGTTTTCTTCTAGGCGATGAAAATGTCTGGAACTGGACACAGCGGTTGAGCAGCTCTGTGGGCATTCTGGGTGCCACGGAACTGTCTACTTCAAAATGGTTAACTGTATGTTATGTGCATGTACATCAATTTAAAAATAAAGGAGAATCCTGTAGCATAACTGAGTATGTATATAATTAACATTTCATTAACAACCCTCATATGTGCCGATGATAATCAGCTAGGAAATATAAAGGGCAAAAAGATCCTTTCCTTACAATAGGAACAGAAAAGACAAAACACCTAAGAATAAATTCAGCAAAAAAATGGGCAAAATCAATACAAAGAAAATGATTCCACAGATGACCAAAAAGTCAATTAAATCAAGTTTACCAGGTTCTTGGCTAGGAAAATTCAACACCACAAAGATGTCAATTCTTCCTTAAGTAATCTATTAATTTAATGAGACCGCAATAAAAGTAAATATGAATTGGACTTCCTTTTAATTAGATAAGAAAAAAAGCAAGAATACAGAAAACTACAAAAAAAGTAAAAGTAATGAGTGAAAAATTCTACCAGATTTTTAAATATACTCTTACTAATTAAAACAATGAACACTTTAACACATGAACAGAGAAGCCAGAGGAAAAGAACCAAATGTCTAGAAATAGACCCAACTAGATATGTTGTATATTAAAAAAGTGGCATTGCCCTGGCCGGTTTGGCTCAGCAGTTAGAGCGTCGGCCTGCGGTCCTGGGAGACCCGGGTTCGGTTCCCGCTAAGGGCATGTACCTCGGTTGCAGTTTGTCCCCGGCCCTGGTTGGGTCCTGCAGGTGGCAGCCACTCGATGTGTCCCTTTTACATCGATGTTTCTCTCTCTCCCTCCCACTCTATCTGAACAAAAAATGGAAAAATGTCCTCGGGTGAGGATTTAAAAAAAAAAAAAAAAAAAGTGGCATTTAAATTAGTGAAGAAAAGATGTATAATTAATAAATAATTTGGGTACAACAAGGTAACCACAAGATAAAATATAAAGTTGTTATCTATACCATCACATAAATACCAAATAAAGACAAGATTTGATTTTTTTTTTTTTTTTTAAATCATAAAAGTACTAAACTATGGGAGAATTCTTTTTAACCTGATTGGGAAAGACATTCCTAATTATGACCCAAAACCCAGAAGACATGTAGAAAACTTGATAAGTAAGTTTAACCACATAAAAAGCTAAAATTCCTTCATAGCAAAGACTATAGAAAAAATAAATAAAAGCATAAGTGAAGACTGTGAAAATATATTTGCACCTCATACCACAGACAGAGGCTAATTTCCATAATATAAAAAAAGATCTCCAAAAAGTCATTAAGAAAACTTAATAAAAAAATTTAAAAAATGGGCAAAGAAAATGAGTATAGTTCATGAAAAAGGAAATACAAATAGGTCTTAAGCACAGGAAAAGACGTGTATACTCGCTAGTAAGAGAAATACAAATTTTAAAGTGTTTAAAAAAACAATTTTTTCCCTAACATTGACCAAGATTAGAAATTTGATAACTGGCTGTGCTGTCAGAGGTACAAGAGACGGACACATGTGGGAGTATAAACTGGTAAAATCTCGATAGAGAGCAACTTGGCAATACCTGTGACAATGACAGACGCACATATTCTCTGATGCAGTAAGGACCTTCTAGGAATTTATCCCACAGAACACTCACACGTGTGTGAAAAGATGTACATTGTTTATAAAGCAGAGTTTGAAAACCTCCCAAGAGTCCATCGGTAGGGGACTGGTCAAACACGGAAGGCATCCATACAACAGAACACAATGCCACTATTAAAAAGTGGAATATACCTGGCAGGTGTGGCTCAGTGGATTGAGCATGGTCCCAAGCACTGAGAGGGCCCGGTTCAATTGCCAATCAGGGCACATGCCCAGGTTGTGGGCTCGATCCCCAGTAAGGGGTGTGCAGGAGGCGGCCGATCGATGTTTTTCTCTCACATCAATATTTCTGTCTCTCTCTCTCCCTTCCTCGCGCGATAAAAAATCAATTAAAAAATATTTTAAAAAATAATAATAATAAAATAAAAAGTGGAATGCATGCACATGCACTCACATTTGCCTGACACATAAAGTATCTCTAGGTTTTACATGCACTGGTAATACTGGGTGCATCCAGGGAGGGGTCAAGGGTAGGAGACTGACATTTACTATATATCCTGTTACATTTTTTTCTTTATTGATTTTTTAGAGAGAGAGAGAAACATCGATGTGAGAGTGAAACATCCATCGGTTGCCTCCTGCATGTGCCCTGACTGGGAATCAAACCTACAACTTTCGGTGTATGGGATGGCACTCCAACCATCTGAGCCACACCGGCCAGGGTCTGTTATACATTTTAAATTCTGACCTGTGGGCAAATATTACCTACCCCAGGCCTTTACTGCACTACTGCCTGTGTCCATGGGCTATGCATATATGTTCTCTGGTCAATCTCTTCCATCCCCCTGAACTCCTCCCCCCTGGGCTCTGTCAGTCGGTTTCATGAGTCCATGCCTCTGGACCTATTTTGGTCACCAGTTTATTCTGTTCATTAGATTCCACATATAAGTGAGATCAATGTGATATTTGTCTTTCTCTGACTGGCTTTTTTCACTTAGCATAGTAATCTCCAGGTCCAGAAGCATGGATTAATTTTAAAACATAGAAGTAACTGAAGCTCTCGCCAGTTTGGCTCAGCGGAAGAGTGTCGGCCTATGGACCAGAGTCGCGGGTTCAGTTCCGGTCAAGGGCACATACCTCGGTTTTGGTTCATCCCCAGCCCAGGTCGGGACCCTGCAGGAGGCAGCCAGTCGATGTGTCTCTCTCATGTTGATGTTTCTCTCTCTCTCTTCCCCACCCCCACACCCCCTTTCCCACTCTATCTGAAAATAAATGGAAAAATATCCTTGGCTGAAGATTAAAAAAAAAAAGTAAGTTAAAATTTTTATGTAAATTCTATCCACGTAGTCAGAGCTATTGGGGAAAGCAAAAGAATGACAAGCAACTTCATGTCAGTCTCACCTGAGCTGTAAAAGAAAACATCAAGCCCACGGATTCTTATAGGCAAGTTTCCACAAAGACATCGCTGGTTTTTAGCCCCAGGCACCCAGCTCCCGACTGGTTCCTTCAGAGCCGAGAACACAGAGGACAACAGAGGCCTCACTCACATCAGTCTGGAGATGGGCGGGAGCTTCCGAGTTGTCATTGATCCTCCGCACGCTGTCGTAGTGCTCACCGTATCGGTACGCGATGTGCAGCTCCCTCACACTGCTTTTATCCGTACCACGGATCTGGAGGCAGAAGAAGGGAGACACCAGTGAAGATTTGGACGGTGTCGACTCCTGCAGAGAAATGCTGCCCAGACTGCCCAGTAACGGGCTCCGTGTGGAAGGACCTGGGACCATGGCTGGGCACGTCCAGGGCACTGCCCGACTTCTCCCTCCCACCCGTGCACGCTGCGGTGTGCTAGTGTGGAACTATCCGGACGCCCACCACGTGGAGCACATCGGAGCCGGGCGAGCTGTGGCAGGGCACCAGGGCCCCTCCAAGGGCAAGGCCTGCCAGCACAGGCAGGTTTGTTGGGCTTGAAGTGCAAACAGTTTGGGGGCCTCATTGAGAAAAAAATATAAGATTACAAATATAAAAGTGCCGGAGCCCTTCCCAGGACCTAGGAAGAAGGCCACGAAAATGAGGGGCCTTCCACTTTCGCTTCATTACTTTACAGAAAATATGCCCCTGTTATAACAACAAAAATAGCATTTTCCATCAACCACATACTGAGAAACGTGAACAAACTCAAATCTCCCACTTACAACAATTTCAGAACAAAATTATTTCAAGTGAAGCGGTACCACGGCAGTGATCGATCCTGGCGGCACGACTCACGAGAGACTCTGTGAATGGCGCCCCTGCATCGCCTGGCAAGCACGGTGTTCCCCCGGTCATGTCCCGCAGAAGGCCTGAGGGCTAGCCTGAGCACACCCCCAAAACACTCCACCTCACAGAAACTCTAAAGCAATTCTGAATCTTGGCTCGGAAAGCCCACTAACCATCTCTTCATTAAAACTCTAGACGTTTAGCACTTCCTTCTTGTTTTTACTGAAAGTCACAGGTACTAAGGCACTACTGTTCATTTTACCACTATCTGTGGTCTAAAAGCACAGCAAAAACCATGGAGCAAACAAGAACCACAGGGCCAGAAGGCAGAACCATGGGAGTTTTCTCTGGGTAATCTATCCAGATCTCTAAGTACAGACGGTCTGGTTCTGACACACAAAATAGAGACAGCATCATTTATCTCCCAGAGGAAAGGAAACTAGGTCATTAGAATCTCTGAATGGCCTAATCCCTAAAGAACCAACGTATTTAAATAACACTATATACACATTATGAATAGGAAAAAATAACTACAAATTTTCACTGTAATTTTCATGAGGAGAGATTACAGAGGACTTTCACCTTCTATGTCAGTCATGTCTACATTGTTCACAGAAGCATATTCCATTTGAACCAGGAAAAAGATGTAGGTTTCAGTACTCCATTGTTGTGTGAGCCTACCCATTATCACTGCAGGAGTTCTCACCTACGACAGTAGCAATCAAAGCAGTTTCAACTCTTAAATGTCATAAGATGCTTCACTGCGTGGGGAGGTGGGGGAGAGCCAGTGCATAGTTCCATTATACAGCAAATACATTTATTTTAAAAACATATATTTTCAAGGTGTAGCAATCCATGAAAGAGAACGCTATAGAAATGTATTTGAAAGAATCCTAACTGGGCAGAATTATCTTTCACAGCTACTCAGATAATTGAGAAAGTAAATAAAGCTATCAAAGGAAGAAAAACAGGCGGTGGTTACTGAGCTGGCACTGAGCACTTCCTGCAAGAACAGGGTCATCGTGCTGTAAAATCAAGTGATTTTGAGGACTTCTGCTGAACAGTGATCATTTCATGACAAAAAATGGGGATAATGAAGAAGGTAACAGTCTTCCCGGCTAGAGACCATCCTTAGAAGGAGGGCACCTCACGAAGATATGACAGCTCTCCTGGTGTCAGTACACCCGACAACTCTGCCCCAAGGATACACGTTTCCCTCCCTGGAAAATCCCGCACCAACCCATGCACAGTTCAATTTATTTGGCTGTAATTCTGTTAAAAGGACATTATGCCAGACACAAGGGCTATATACTACCATTTAGATGACACTCTGGAAAGGCAGAACCGTGAGAGACAAATCAGATTACTGGTTACTAGGGTTGGGGATATGGGGAGGGGACTAGTCACTGCAAAGGTCATGAGGAAACTTTGGGGGTAATGGAAACATCCTGTGTTGATAGTGGTGGTGGTTACATGAAATGACTGTATTTGTCAAAAAAATGTACATCTGAGAAGGGTTAATTATGCTATATGCAAATTATATCTCTATAAACTCGACTTTATTTTTAATGAGCAAGGTTATGACTGAACCACTTACAAAGAAAACATACGCTGGCAGCCTATGAAAGCAGTGAGCAGAGCCCTGGCTGGCGTGGCTCAGCGGCTGGAGCGTTGGTCCAGACACCAAAGGGTCTCGGGCTGGATTCCCAGTCAAGGGCACGTACCTGGGTTGCAGGTTCAATCACCGGTCCTGGTGGGGCATGTGCAGGAGGCAACCAATTGATGTGTCTCTCACCATCGATGTCTGTCTGTCCCTCTCTTTCAATTTCTCTCCCCCTTACTCCCTTCCACTCTCTAAAAAGCAATGGAAAAAGAATATCCTCAGGTGATTCTTTTTTTAAAGTGAGGAAAAAGGCCACTGTTGCCTTCATAATAATAATATATAGGGGTACACAAGTGTGTGTGTACACACATATGGACCTGTCTTTATGTGTGTAAAGGGAGTATAAAAACACTGTGATACATGTCTTTCCAGTTACATATGAATAATTTTATAGCTAAGAGTATGTGTGAATGACAGGGATACACACTAAAATGATAACAGTAATCTCTGAGGAATGTAACTCTGAGTGATTTTTATTTGCCTTTATTGGTTTTTCTGAATTTTCAAATTTTTCTACATTTAGTATGTTTTACCTTTCTAAATAAAAACAAAAAGAAGCTAGAACCAGAGGAGCAATGGAGGGGGAGGACTGACAGAACTCACCCCAGTCCGCCCTGGCCGGTTTGGCTCAGCGGTTAGAACGTCGGCCTGTGGACCAGAGAGACCCAGGTTCGGTTCCCACTAAGGGCATGTACCTCAGTTGCAGTTCGTCCCCGGCCCCGATTGGGGTTGTACAGGTGGCAACCAATCGATGTGTGTCTCTCACATCGATGTTTCTCTCTTTCTCTCTCTCTCCCACTCTGTCTGAAGATAAATGTAAAAATATCCTCGAGTGAGGATTAAAAAAAGAAATCACCCCACTCTGAAGGGGGAGAGCTCCAAAGCACAGGAAGCCCCCGGATGCAGGAGGAAGAGCAAGGGCACCATGGCCTGCATGTACTTTCACCCCAGCCTCTGACCTTGCCCAGGAATGTCTGGTTTCCTGGACTGGGAGACTAGGTTAATTTGGGGTACCAAAGGTACAGAGAGTTGAATGGACAGCTACTTCGCAACAGGGGAAGAAAGGACGGCTCATGGCTCAGCAATGTGCCCTGCCAGCCTACCGCACAAATGTATCATTTGTTGTAAAACTTGTCTGCTGTAGAAAAACCACTGAGCAGACCAGAGAAATGGAACCTGACAGCCAAGGCCATGAAGTAACTTCTGTTGTTCAGAACATCCTTTCTAGCAATGGTTATTATAGTAAATTTGATCTGTTTCCCTCCACCTAAAAAACACAAATATTGCCCAGCCATTGTGGTTCAATGGTTGAGTGTCAACCCATGCACCAAAAGGTCGCCGGTTCGATTCCCGGTCAGGGCACATGCCCAGGTTGTGGGCCCAATCCCTAGTGGGGGGCATGAAGGAGGCAGCCAATCGATGTCTCTCTCTAATCGATATTTCTATCTCTCTCTTCCTCTCCCTTCTGCTCTCTCTAAAATCAATAAAGAAAAAGAAAAAAAAATACACATATATACATGTGGGACTAGGCATACTTCACAACTAAGTTTGTACGCACTAATCCTTTAAATTTCGCTCAGCCACTTTACAGAATTATCGACAGTATTTCCACATCAGGCTCTCTGCCCCCAAACTACCCAATTAACTGACTGCTGAATAATGTGTCTGGAATGTAAAGGTGTCTGAATTACACTCCAGACTCCATGTGAACTTGGCGCAGGGTGATCCCGAGCTACCACAGGCTTCCAGTCCTTGGTGAGGCTCACAGTCCAAGTTACCCTATAGAGTTCAATAGTACAGGTCATGCCCCATTTCAGGACACCCCCAAAGCTGATTCATAAAGAAGAGCTTCAGATAAACTCTTGAATAGGCGACCTACCTGCCACAAAGGGGCATTAAGTTGATGAATCACCACATTCAATTGATGATTTCTTGCAAAGGCTACAATTGCATCATTGCCAGCAAATGTACCAGGCTTTGCCAAACTGGCCACTGCATGGAAATAGGAAGGAGAGAAAAATGAAGTCTTAATAATGGAAAAACCCAGATGCAAACATGCTTTAGTACTTACTTAGTTCCAAACAATGAGAAACAAGGACATACATCTAAAAAGTCCATCAGCATTGTCAGAGTCTAGGAATTCAGATGCTTGAATAGTATGTAGACTGCTACTCAAAAGGGTACCAACCATTCACAAAGAAAGGATTCATTTACGTGTTCCTTTAATAAACATTTACTCCATGTTTCCTGTAAGCCTAACTCTGTAAGACACAGGAAATGTAACAACAAACAGTGACTGTAATAGTTTGCACTGATGAATGCATATACATGTCAAGCACTGCTCTGCTCCTCATGGATGATCACTTTTAATCCTCAAAGCAGCCCTCTGAGAGTATTATCGTGCACACCATCTTACAGATGAGGAAACCGAGGCACAGAGTAATTTCAACTATGAACAAGGTCATGAGCCAGTACACAGCAGAGCGGACATTACATCCCAGGCAGCCTGACTCCAAGATCCTGGCTTTTGGCTATTCTATTATACAGCCTGTTAGTTTGCTCTTGAGAAGTTAACAAACAATGGTGGGGGGGCATGCAAACAGGAAAATAGGCACAGTCGTCCCTCATTTTATCGTGTTTAATCCGTTCTAGACTCTAGCGGCTGCACCTGGCGTTGAAGGATTCCTGGGGTCCTCGAATACACAGGCCTACAGTCCATACGTACAGTAATTGTAATTGTAACACAGGGGTGTATAACTGACTCAGCAACCAAGCGCACGCCGTGTCATTTTCACTGTCTCCATCAACTTTTTAAAGAATATATTTGAAAACACCATGATAAAGTGAAGCCGCGGAAGTCGAAGCGCGAAGTGGCGAGGGAGGACTGTACTGATGCATGAGTGCAACAGGAAAGGGCTGGATGGTAAAGAATTTGTCCTTGCCCCAAGAAAGGTCTGACCTTTGTCCCTGGCTCCTAGGAGACCAGCTCTAAAACTCTTCGAACTTCCCAAGTGACAGGAATGTCACTGTTATTCACAGTGGGCTCCTCAGCCACACCTGATAGTTTAAGCTAATGAGATGACACTCTGGCCATGTGATGTCAGCCAGACCTGGGAACTGGGGAGCTAGGTGATCAATCAATAATGTCCACACAAGGAAACTCCAATAAAAACTCTGGACACCATAATTCAGGTGAGCGTCTTGGCTGACAATACTATGAATCACACAGACAGCAGGAGGCTAATGCATCCTGAGGACAACAGAAGTTTCATATCTGGAACCTTCCCACTCTGCCCTTTGGCTAATTCTGACCTATAACCTCACCATGTAACAAACTGTACCTGTGAGTATAACATCCTTCGGGGAGCTCTGTTGAGTCCTTGTAGCAAATCATGAAAACCGAGCACGGTTCCAGGAAACCCCCAACTTGCAGCTGGGGTCAGAAGTGAGGGAAGTCTGTGGAAGACTGTGCTCTAAAACCCTGCAGCTTGGCTAACTCCAGGTCGGGAACACGGGCCAGTTTGGAGTGAGGACGGGGAGGCAAGGTGTATCAGATCAGCTTCTCGGCTTAGACAACTAAGCTAATTCCAAAATGACAAGCAGGAAACAGACCGAAGAGAACTGATGTTCGAGGCAAAGATGCGAGAGGAGGGAGAGAGATGAGTCTGTGTTGCAGGAACTTGGAATGCTAAGACAGCAGGGTGGGAGATGAGGACAGAGAAATGAGAAAATCGCAGATCGCACAGAACTCGAGTTTGGACTTTATCCTGAGGTCAGTGGGGAGCAGCCAAGGGCTGTATGTAGATAGAGGGAAGGTCAGGTGTATTTAAGTCACTATCTGGCTACAAAACACAAACTGAATGGGTCAAGTGGCAACGAGACCAGATGAGAGTACTGAAGAAATCTAGGCCTGATTTTACAAGGTGGTAGCAATGACAGAAAAAATGCTGAGGGAGATGTGACAAGACTTAATGAATGACGGGGCATGAGGAGGGGTGGAGAGGAGGCACTAAGGACTGTGAGCTGGGTATCTGTGCAGCTGGAGAAAATACGCTGCTGATTCTCCGAAGCCATAGTCCAAAGGAAAAGAATAACCCTAAAAGAAACAGGCAGATGCAAGGGTAGCCAGGTCCTGAAAAGTAAGCCATTCATTGCTTCATTCAACAAATATCTTAGGAGCGCCTACCATGTGCCAGGCATTGCCACGTGTGGGGAAAGACACAGTCCCTGTCCTCAAGAATCTCAGTATAACAGGGTAGACAGACATTAAAAACACATAGCTGCCCTGGCCGGTTTGGTTCAGTAGCTAAAGCGTCAGCCCGAGGACCAGAGAGTCTCAGAATCAATTCCGGTAAAGGAGGTCAAACCTCAGCTGTGGTTCGATCCCCAGCCCTGGTCAAGGTCATGCGGGAGGCAACCAATCAATGTGTCTCTCACATAGATGTTTCTCTCTCACCCACCCCCCCCCCCATCTGAAAATCAGTGGAAAAATATCCTCAGGTGAGGATTAAATTTTAAAAAAATAACACAAAAAAACACACAGCTCTGATACCAGTGATAAAGTAGTAAGTCTAGTCTTCAACGGACACACACACAGAATGTGCAGACTGGTCCGTTTCTTTCTACTTCTGCTGTGGCAGTCAGAGCCGCTCCTCACTTTGAAGCTCAAATTCTTTATGAAGCACCAACCAGCGATCAGGAATGCACAGTGACATTTCAAGAAAACACTTTCCCATTGTACATCTAAACTGACTATCACACTGCACCCAAGTTCCTTGCCCTGTCATACCCCCCAATCCACCACATGACCTTCACTCAAGATGTTCAAAGTGAAATTTCAGGTCACAAACTAAAAACTCACTTCATCTAAAATATTTTCATTGGCCCTGGCCAGTTTGGCTCAGCAGTTAGAGCGTCGGCCTGCAGTCCAGAAAGACCCGGGTTCAGTTCCTGCTAAGGGCATGTATCTTGGTTGTAGTTTGTCCCCGGCCCTGGTTGGGTCATGCAGGTGGCAGTCACTCGATGTGTCCCTTTCATGTCGATGTTTCTCTCTCTCTCCTTCCCTCCCACTCTATCTGAACAAAAAATGGAAAAATGTCCTCAGGTGAGGATAAAAAAGAAATACATATATATATTTTTACTGGATCAATGACACAATTCATTTTATATAGCTAAACCACAAAACTTGCCCCCTACACCTGTTTTAATTTGTAAACTGCTGACCATCTGGTAAACTGCAACTATGTGCTAGACAAAAAGTGATCAGGGAGAGGGACCATCAACTCGGTGACTGGTATCAACTACTCACTGGGAGCTTCGTTGCTGTGTCTTTTGCTGCGGTGCCTAATGAATGAGTTCTTCCCCCATGAGTCATGAGTCATGAGTCACTGATCGCTCCCCTCCCCATCCCTTCCTCCTGCAGCCCTCTCTACTGCCACCAGGACAGCTACCTAGCCATTCTCCAAACAGAATCTGCAGAATCACCTTTGCTTTCCCCTGCCCCTCCTCCCCACCTCCAATGAGGCCTGTCAATTACACCACCAGCTGGGTCTTGGTCATGACCCCACTCATCATCCCCAGCAGCTGCCTTCGTGGAGACCCTCTTACTCTTTCATCTGGCCAATGTGGAGAGCCTCCTAAACCACTCCCTTCTCAGCCTCTCTTCCCATTCTTTCTCGACATGGTTCCAGAGCTAGCACTCTAAAACACCGGAAATATTCCGTCTCTTTCCTGATAAGAGACAGATAAGACTGTGAGCTCTGTGATAAAAATGTTATTGTAAAACATGAATATATCAGCACCTAGCATAGTACATCCTCAGTAAATAACTGTCAACTTAAAGTCTAAAAGTTCATATGTACACCCAGCTGGTGTGGCTCAGTGACTGAGTGTCGACCTATGCACCAAGAGGTCACCAATTCGATTCCCAGTTAGACTACATGCCCAGATGGGCCAAATCCCCAGTGGGGGACATGCAGGAGGCAGCCAGTCGATGTTCCCTCTCATGGATGTTTCTCTCTCTCTCTCCCTCTCCTTTCCTCTCTCTCCCTAAAATCAATAAAGAAAAAAATAAATAAATAAAAATAAAATCTCATATGTATTTTCTTACTAGATTTGTGCCTAATTAAAATCACTAAATAGCCCGGCCGGTGTGGCTCAGTGGTTGAGCATCAACCTATGCACCAAGAGGTCGCTGGTTCAATTTCCAGTCAGGGCACATGCCCAGGTTGCAAGCCAAATCCCTAGTGGGGGGCATGCAGGAGGCGGCCAGTTGATGTTCTCTCTCATCAATGTTTCTATCTCTTTCTCCCTCTCCTTTCCTCTCTCTAAAATCAATAAAAAGAAAAAAAGTTTTTTTAGTCACTAATTTGCCTTGAAGGAAGCAAGTTAGGTTTTTGGTGAGAAATTAAAATGATTTTATTGATTTTTCTGATTATAAAAGTACAGTAATACATGATCATTTAGAATCAGAAAAATCCACAGAAGATAATTTAAAATGCCCGTAGACCCATCATCCTTGGATGGCTAACAGTTAAGAACTTATTTTAATCATAACATTCAATTTAATCTTCACCAAAAAAGCCTGTAACAAGTGCTATTATTATCTTCCCTTTACAAAAGTTTAAAGGGAGTAAGTGGTTTCTGAAAAATAAGTGGAGCCAGGAATAAACAACCATAAAATGTTAATATCTTTCTGGAATTTTTCTAGTGTGCTTCTGTGTGTGTATACCTTTCAAAAATAGGACCAATCCATACACACTATTTTATAGCCTGCTTCCTCCCCTCCCCGCATTGAATAAGAAGTCATAAACAGCTTTTCAAGTCAATGAACATTATCATTTTTATTAAGGGCACACACATCTACACCTACTGAATCCCAACTGCCTAGCATGCTGCCTATTACAGAGCAGACAAATAAGCATTTGTTGAATACATGCCATAGTTTATGTAACCAAACCCTGGCTAGGAGGGTGGGGGATGCTGATGGGTTTCATTACCCAGTGTACTCCTCCTGGAGAATCCACTGTCCCGCGGTGAACCTACCATGTTTCTCAAAGGGAATGTCATCTTCTACAAAGGGTTCAAAATCTTCCCGCTGCTTTATCATGTAGTCCACTGTCTCTTGTCGATGCTGGAGATGATTTCGTGAGTGTCCCTCCAACTGATCACCAAGAGCTCTGAACAGGCAATTGCTATCAAAACAAAAAGTGTTGGTTAAAACCTTTCAAAAATGAATTTAGTTCATCTCAAACAATGATGCTCCATGCTAGGCCATCCATGGCAATCTTCCACACAGAGACAAGAGAAAGCCTATTCTGACTTTCCAATTTCCAAGATTCCTCCCAGATACTGAGGGGAGAGAACTAGGGCAGATGTCCAGCTACACTGCCTTCTAAGGGGCAACAAACAAGGAGTAGTACCCACTTACCAGCTGGCCGATACAGGAAAGTCATTCAACATCCCTGGGCCGCAGCTGCTTCAAAAGCGAGGACAAAATACACTAACCGCCTGGGGACAAGGTCCAGACACTACAGGCCTTTTCTCAAGGGCTCTGATTCCCAGATGCTCTTCCAAAATAATAAATCCGATCTACTGCCTCTTTTCTGAAACAAGGTAGTACAGCTGCCCAGCTAATAGTCATTCACCTAACAGAGTACCCCAAAGATCATAATTTGTCAAGCCCCAATACAAACAACTGAAGCCGGCCTCCTGCTGAAGTCCTAGAACCACGTAGAAAGCTGTGAGAGGCAGCTGGGCATCGCGTAGCTGCTCTCTGCAGGGACATGCTCCCTCCTCCTGGGCTCCTCACCTCTCACCTCTCACCTCTCACCCAGGGAGTCACGACGCTGTTGTTAGTCCTGCCCAATGAAAACTCTAAACACGATGTTTATTTTGTTTTGTTTCTAAAATCCAAATGCTGGTAATAAACTTTAAGAGTTCTCTTTACTTTCAAACGCCTCAAAGGCTTCTAAAATTGCAAACGATATCACAAACACAGAGCCCAGACACACAGAGGCTGGAACAAGACAAACACAATCTGGTATCCTTAAAACTGAGGAAACAAAAACATTCTGAAGCCAAACAGTTGCCCAGTTTCACACCAAATTGTTTACTCTTTCAAATGAAAACCTATGCTACTCTAATTCTAAAACATAAATGTTATCACTTCCAGGACTTCAGACGTAAATGCATAAGAGAAAGAGGTTTTTTGTTTTGCAATTCAGAAAAATGAATTTTCAGTAGAAAGTTGGAGAGAGTCAGGAATCTCTTCAAGTGTATAATGATTTAGTCTATTTTCTTTTGCAAAGGAGGGAGGGATGTGAGAGATTCTATAAACTAGAAACCAAGACACTTTGCATCAATCTGAAGCAAGATTCTAGAAGCAACTGGAATACAGCAGGTCTATTCTAGGCTGAGGTGTCTGTTGCTAAAATCTAACAATGGTAGTCTTTTTTCAACCACAGGGGAAAAAATTAAAAGGTAAGCTCATGAATAAAGCATTCTCAATGTTAAGCTTTTCTCTCAAACTTTTCTTAAACCTTTAGGTCTGCTCTTTAATCTAACTTAATAGGTGTTATTTAGCCCAAAATTATCTATTTCGTTATTTTACATTTAATATATCAAAATTCATGGTGTTCTACAGAGCGTAACATGCTAAGTACTTTTAGTAACATGGGGCAATGTTCTCCACAGAAGTAAAAGTAGATCTAAAATTTCAGTGCATGAGCTCACACATGTTCATGTGCACACTACACAAAAATGCAGGCAAAGAAAGAACACCAAAACCTCCACTTAAACATCTCTCACAATGTGCCAGGCACATGGTAAACACTTTACACATAATAAAGGTGCCTAGTCCTCACAACTCTAAGCTAGTACTATTACTATCCCCCTCAGGTAACTACTCAAGGTCACATAACTGCTAGGTGGTGGACCCAGGATTCAAACCCAGGCTCCAAAATGTCAGCTGTAGTTACTCCTAGGCAGTGGAATTAGAAGTAAATGTTAAATTATGTATTATTTTAACATACTTTTCTATATTTACAAACTTTCCTGAGCTCACTAAAAATAGTAAAAAGGAAAAATCAAGATAGACAAATGACATCCTTTTCTGACCGCTGCAAGGTAAGTGACACAGGAAATGTGAACCACCACCATGGCCAACCTGAGTTCCCCGAGGGAGCCAGGGACAGCACTGCGACACTCACGGGAACGAAGTGATCACTGCCCGAAGGGCCTCTAGGAGTCCACCGTTTCCTGAGTCCACACGCTCGCCCCTCACACTACAGCAGGACTTCTCAAACCCCACAAGACTGACATTTGGGGACGAGTCTTTGTTGCAGGGATTGTCCTGTTTTTGTTTTTGTTTTTATCCTCACCAGAGGACATTTTTCCATTTTTTGTTCAGGTAGAGTGGGAGGGAGAGAGAGAAACAGAGAGAGAGAGAGAAACATCGATGTAAAAGGAACACATCGAGTGGCTGCCACCCGCATGACCCAACCAGGGCCGGGGACAAACTGCAACCGAGGCACGCGCCCTTAGCGGGAACCAAACCCGGGTCTCTCTGGACCACAGGCTGACGCTCTAACCACTGAGCCAAACCGGCCAGGGCTAATTTCGTTTTTTTGATGTGGCTACAGGAAGATTTTTAAATTCCATACACGGCTTCCATTTTACTTCTGTTGGACAGTGCTGCTGTAGATCACTGATTCTCAAAGTGTGGTCCCTGACTGGTCACGTCAGCATCACCTGAGAACCTGCTCAAAATGAAGATTCTGGAGCCGCCCCAGGCCCACGGAAACAGACACGGGGTTAGGCCCAGAAACCTAGTCACTCCAAGTCTTTTAACTAAGCCCTCCAGGGACTGCTGCATGTTCAAGTTTGAGAAACACTAGTCTAGAATCTAGACACTAATAAATCAGTGGCTTTCATTTATGGCTGCACATGAGCATCACCTGTGGACCTTTTGAAAAATGATCAGTAACCAGGCTCCACTGCCTGAGATCCTGGCGTAGCTGATCGAGGGGGAAGGCTAGGCCCTGTATTTTTCCCAACGTTCCCAGCTGATTCTATTGTGCCACCAGGGCTGAAAACCACGATGCTGGAAACAAAAGCTGAGGCTGCTGTGCAGGTGATGCAGGTAACTAACAGAAAGGCAAGATGATGTGTAAATACCTTTCCATCACCAGATCCTACGATTATAAAAACAAAATAGAAAATAAAACTTGTTTGTCCGGCTGGTGTGGCTCAGTGGTTGAGCATCGACCCATGCACCAGGAGGTCGCGGGTTTGATTCCCAATCAGAACACACGCCCAGGTTGTGGGCCCGATCCTCAGTAGGGGGCATAAAGGAGGTGGCCAATGGAGGTTCTCTCTCATCGATGTTTCTCTCTCTCTCTCCCTCTCACTTCCTCTCTCTCTAAGGAAAAAAAAAAAGAAAGAAAATAAAACTTGTTTGGGGACAGAGATAAATGGTTAAAATGAGTGATTCTTGAATGTTTTAATTTTAGAACACTACTAATTAGTTATGTAATTTAAGGCTATATTTAGTAAGATACAACTGGATATAGTTCAGAGAGATGCTAATGTTGTTTGTACTGCTTAATCCAATTAGATATGCTATTCACCCTAGAGCCAATGATGTTTTTAAGGACATCAAGGTTAAAATATTTGTTTCTTGTCTTGAAACTGAATCCAATTTATGTGGGTCCACCTTCCAGACAACATAACAAATATGAAAGTGGCCCATGATGCATATATATAGCTCCCTGATTAATCTATGCTAAACTGACTCAACTCATGGAAACATCAGAGGATACCAGCTAATTCATCCCCAAGCACCCGGACGTTCCAGAGTGCTACAAGTACCATACCACCAACAATAAATATGCCTACATCATAAGACGTTCTCTCAGGCTACTCAATACTGTAATTGGACCAGAATGGAAAGAGAGAAAAGTGAAAACTGTCAACCGTGTTTTTTATATTACCATAACTTTATATTTCACCAAAGAGTACTCAATAAATGTTAGTAAAAGAATATGCTGATACCTGCCAGCCCATCACATACACTGGAAATACCATCTATCGCAGTGATAAAGCCGGTTATCACACATCCAAAAGCACCACACCACTGAGGAGGGCTGACCCACAGTCCATCTCATGGTACCCATGGGAAGAATTCGTTACCTTCATGGAACCCACACAAGAGGAATTATCGTTTCACCCAACTATGTCCAAAGAACAAAGACCCTGGAAGGAGAAACATGAGCATTCCACTCAAGCTGACCTCTGGCCTCTGCAGCCTCACTGCCCCTCACTTCGACCCTTGTATCCTACATTCTTAGCATCCTAAACAACTTGTAGGTCTCTTCAAAATAATGTGCTCCAGCCCTGGCCAGTTTGGCTCAGCGGTTAGAGCGTCGGCCTGCGGTCCGGAGAGACCCGGGTTCGGTTCCCGCTAAGGGCACGTACCTCGGTTGCAGTTTGTCCCCGGCCCTGGTTGGTCGTGCGGGTGGCAGCCACTCGATGTGTCCCTTCACGTCGATGTTTCTCTCTCTCTCTCCCTTCCTCTCTCTCCCTCCCACTCTATCTGTACAAAAAAATGGAAAAATATCCTCGGGTGAGGATAAAAAAAATAAATAAATAAATAAAATAATGTGCTCCAGTGCACACACATATTTACATATATTACTCCTCAGCCTAGAGTGTTCCCTTGGCCTATTCCTTTTGGTCCTTCATGACCCGGTTGCATATGGCCTCCTCTGACGCATCTAGCAGAGTAGATTTCTATGAGAACTTGCTTAATGAATGAGAAGGCCTCCCTGACCACTTCAGGGAGTGTTAGCCACTTCCTTCTCAATAGCACCACTATAATCAACCACTATAAAGAGTACTGCCCTGGCTGGTTTTGCTCAGTGGTTAGAGCGTCGGCCTGTGGTCCAGAAAGACCCAGGTTCGGTTCCCGCTAAGGGCACGTGCCTCGGTTGCAGTTTGTCCCCGGCCCTGGTTGGGCCGTGTGGGTGGCAACCACTCGATGTGTCTCTTTCACTTCTATGTTTCTCTCTCTCTCTCTCTCTCCCTCCCACTCTCTCTGAACAAAATATCAAAAAATGTCCTCGGGTGAGGATAAAAAAAATAAAAATAAAGAGTACATCAGCCCAGCCAGTGTGGCCCAGTGGACTGAGTGTTGTCCCATGGACTAAGAGGTCCTGGTTTAACTCCTGATCAGGGCACATGCCCAGGCTTCGGGCTCAATCCCCAGTAGGGAGCATGCAGGAAGGTAGCCAATTGATGTTTCTCTTTCACATCAATGCTTCTATCTCTCTCTCCCTAAGAAAAAAAAAGTCAATGAAAACATTTTTAAAAAAGAATATATCAAACCTTATTTTAATTATTTATATAATCCATTCTCAAAGTGTGGTCCAGTTTGGTGGTATAGGGGAAAGTATCTCTGAGACTCTTTCAGGGTATCCATGAGTTCAAAACTAAGATGTCATGTATCTTTTTCACTCTCTCTCTCTCTCACAAGTGTACAGTGGAGTTTTCCAGAGGCTATCTGATAACTAATGGAATATGTTTGTATATTCTTGTTTTAATTTTTTCTCTTCTACTTTCAAATATAGTAAATACTTGTAGCTACAACCCATATAAACAAAAGCTTTTTGGAGTCCCTCAGAACTTTTTAAGAGTCTAAAAGGGGCCCTAAGACCAAAATGTTTGAGACCTGCTGTTTTGTTTCTCTCTTACTAGGCTACAAACTCCGTAAGGCTACAAACTCCATAGTATCCTAGTCTTCAATGTATTCCCAGCTCCTTGCTTCAACAATGTCTGCTGAATTAAAGAAGTATGCTCTTTGGGGGGGGGGGTAGAGAGATAGCACCCCAAAGTTTCCCATATCATTAGGAAAACTCCCTCAAGATTTTACAACTTTCTGTAGTGTGATTTCTGCTCATAAGCAACCCTCTGTTGAGTACTTCAGTTTCCTGGACACCCTACATTGAGAATAGCATGCCCAGTATAGCAGACACAAGCAATCCAATCATTTGCAAGGAAGAGCCCCATGCCAATCCCACTGTATTCTATTGGTAGTTTGGTTTATACAGCAGTGTCTTATGCTTATGATGTTTGATTAAAATAAAGCCCTGAATTGTTAATAAACTTTATATTTGACAAAATCAAGGTACTAGTTGAAAAGCAAGACCCAGCAAAGCAAGTCTTTTTTTTTTTTTTTTTTTAATCCTCACTGGAAGATATTTTTCTACTGCTTTTTCAGATAGATTGGAAAGAGAGAGAGAGAGAGAGACATCGATTGGTTGCCTCCTGCACAACTGCTATCAGGGCTGGGGATCAAACCTGCAACCCAGGTACATGCCCTTAACTGAGAATCAAACCCAAGACTTTTCTGTCCACAGGCTGATGCTCCAACCACTGAGTCAAACTGGCCAGGGCAGCAAAACAAGTCTGTAACAGTAGTGACTCCACTAAGGAAATGCCCCTTTGAGAGGCCCTACTAAGAGTCTAACTGTCCCTCCCTCTCTATTTCTATCATTCATTCATTCAACAAAAATGCACTGAATGCTCTATGTACTAGGCACTGTGCTAGGTGGTGCTGAATAAAATGTAATCACACTGAATCCAATTAGCCTACAGCACTGAGCAGGTGTAGGAAAGACAGGAAAAATTCATCCGGGCCAGTTAATGAACAGCATGCATTCTAACTGTCCTCCTCCCTTCTCCCCTACCTGAATCCTTCTTCCATCTATGCGCCTGTTTCCACATCCCCTTTCCTGAGGCCATCTTCCCCCTCCTCTCCCTCCCACCCATTTATTCATCCCGTGTTCCCTGAAGAGGCTGGACCTAGATTCCAGTCCAAACCCCAAGGAAGCTTGGGTAGGCGCCCTTGCTTACAAAGAAACTGAGGCCCAAGGGAGCAAGGAGAGAAGTTGCCTTCAGTCAACAACAGGCCCTCAGAGACCTAATTTCCCAAAGGAGGAAGGGGGGAGGCGGGTACCCAAAAGTAAGGACTCAAAGGAGGCGAAGTGTTGTTATCCAGGGAGGCCTACAGCTCTGCCTGGGTGACGGCCATGCCTGCTCGGCCGCTGTCCCGCTCTCCACGGGGCTGGATCCCTCGCATCCCTGCAGGTCTCAGCTCTAATGTCACCTTTCCAAGCGGCCTTCCGGGACACCGATCTGAAGGAGACCCGCTCCGGGATTCTCTCTCTGCCTCTGCCACGGTTCGGGGAGTCTGAGATGACCCGAGCGTCTCCAGGGGGGCCCCTGCACCGGGGGGCGGCTGGGGCTCGCGGCCGCCCGAACGAGTGGCCGGACGACAGCGGACGGCGGTCGCCAAGCCCGGCGCGTCCCCCGGCGCCGCCTCCCGCGCTCCCGGGCCCGCCTCACCCGTCCCCCGGCACCTCCCGCAGCTTCAGCCCCAGGGCCTGCAGCTGGTTGGCGAAGCTCACGAACTCCTCCTCGCCGCCGCCGGACTCCGGCTGGTTCCGCCGCTCCTTGGCCAGGGCCCGGCGCGCCGCCCGCTCGTCCCGCTTGCGCTCGGCCTCGGCTTTCCGGCTGCCGCTGCCCGGCCGGCTCTTCGCCGCCTGCTTGCGGGACATGGCCTTGGCCCCGCGGCCCGCAGCGGCAGGAGCGAACGCCGCAGCACCGCAGGGCGAGAGGCTCAGGTGCACAGGACAGGAAGCAGCGCGGACGACGGGGGCCTGGCGACCGCCCGGTCACGTGGCAGAACCCCGCCCCCTCCGCGCAGCTCGCCGGTCAGGCGCCATAGAGAGCTCGCCTGGGGGCTAGAGAGCCACCCATCTTTGTTTGTTCCGCTCTTCCCCCTAGCGGTGGGAGGTCTTCCGAGTGAGGAGCCGGTGAGTCCAGGGAACAAACAGGAAAAAGTCCAGAGAAACAGAGGAGGAAGGAAGAGTGAGAGATGAGAGCAGCTGCGAAAGTGAGGCAAGACTGGAAACTAAAAATGTTAACTCTAGCTGTGAGCCTACAGTTGGGACAGGCGTTTTCACATGGCTCATTCTTGTTTAATTGTCCCAAGTTGCAGGGAATTGAATCCACAGAGTCAGTTAACCTCTCTCCGTGTGATCATTTGAGATCACACAGCTCAAATGCAGAGCTTTCCCCTGGTTCCAAAGGCCATGCACTTTGTTGATTTAGCCTGTCCTTCTCTGCCTCTCTACCTTCCCTCTTAACTAAGGGAGAGGTAGCCCTTGTCCAGAGCTGTTGGGCCTCTGGTGATCTCCAACCAATGTTTGCCTGGACTAAGGAAGGGTCTTCCTAGGACACAGGAGTTTCCGTTTTAAAACCAGGACAGTGCCCAGCATACCAGGATAGTTGGTCACCCTATTCCACACCCACCTACTCTGGACGCTAACTCCATCAGTTATGCCCTCTTCTTCCTCATCCCGGCTCCTCTTTCTTAACTGTCTCTTCCCACCCTGCTGCCACTGTCTCCTCCTCTTGGCCATCTACGAAATCTCTGTCACCATCCCTGGAAATGTCCTGATGTGTCTGCCCTTAATAATCTTATTTTCTCACTCCATTTTTAAGTTCCTCTTTGGTGAGAGCCTCCACTTCCTCGGTTCCCATTGGCATCTGTATTTATCTTTGATGTGTAAATAATTCATTTCAGGCCCTGTACTAGGTGCCAGGTGTACGACTGGACCAAAGAGACGTGGCAGTTGGCCTCAGGAAGCCCAGATTCTAGTGGGACACATAGGCAAGGATACGGTAATTGCAATAATGGGCCTTGACACGTGCTATCAGGGAGGAGGTCAGGGTGTTGTAAGGAGTGGAGTGGAAAATGCAAAAAGGCTTCCCAGAAGAGCTGAGTTCTAAGCAGAAGCTTGAAGAATGGGTAGGACTTGGCCAGAATGAGAAAGTTCAATGCAAAAGGGATTGTGTATCCATCACCAGAGCTCAGTTCAGAGGAAATGAAGGAAGTACAATCTAACGGGAGCACAGGGCTTAAGCCATGAGGCAGGAAGGAGAAGGAAGGCTCAGCTCTGGACCTTCTCGTAGAGCATATGAAAGGGTTTTATGCGAAGTCCTTAGAGCCATGGGGAGCCATTGAATGGTTTTAATCAGGGAACTGACATGATCAGGTTTATGTTTAGAAATATGTCTTTGGCTGTAGTGGGGAGAATGGGTTAAAGGTGGGATACCAGGTAGGAGGCCCCTCTAGATGTCCAAAGACAGGTGATGGTGATAGTGATGGTGATAGCTGGATCTGGGGTGAAGAGGAAGAGAAGTAGATTAGAAAGATAGATTCACATGTTAGTAAAAATTCATGAAACAAAATTGAACTGAATAGTTGAGGAATGTCTTACATGCTGCGCTGAAGTTCCTGAAATTGTTTCTTAACAGATCCTTCTTTGATTCTCAGGAAGAAAGAGGAGCATGAATTGTGCCTGGCTCTACCTTTTCTTGCACAGACATTCCAAGGCCTGAATGACCCCTCTGCTTGTATTTAGCACAGATGGGAGGTAGTGGAAAACCCCTGCACAGGATGGCAGAGACCCAGCTTCTGGTCCAGGTCTACCACTGACTGACTTCATGATCTTGGGTGAGTTGCTTAACCTCCCTAGGTTCCTGTTCCTCACCTTTAAAATGGGACTAAAACAATGAAGACCAAATATAATAGTAAACATAATAATGACAAATTTTTAATGTGTTGACTATGTACCAGGCACTATTCTAATTGCTTCACAAACACTCGCAACAACCCAATGAATTATTTTTAATTCCTACTTTATAGATGAGAAAACTGAGGCACAGAGGGGTTTAGTAACTTCCCCAAAGTCACATGGCTAGCAAGTGGCAGGACCAGGATTTGAAGCCAGATCATCTGGCTCTTGGGTGTATGTTCTTGATCACTATATTATACTACACATGTAATTTGTTATAAACTTCAAAGAACTCTACATAACACATGAATTTGTTTCGTTATTAACTCTTGTATGCTTCCCACACTGATACAGTCTTTCTGCCACCTCTATTGTCCCATATCACTATTGTCTGATTGTCTATTTAACTTTCTCTGTGTTAAAGCAGATCATAAAGATTTAGAGCCTGATTGGCCTAGGTTTCCATCCTGATTTCACTTTAGGTGAGTTACTTAACTTCTAAACCTCGGTTTTCTATTCTGCAAAATGACTACGATAACATAAGAATGGGCAGGAGAGTTACAAAGATTAAACATGCAAAGCCCCAGGCCCCCAATCATAACAGCCTAGTGAAGTTCTTTGAATCATTCCTCTGATTGTGGAAGGTTCAGGAGCTCAGGGGTAGACACTGACCATGCAAACTTCAGAAACCAGGGAAGAAGGGTTTGGCACCACAGAACATGGAAATGCAGACCATGTGGAATGTGGACAGACTTGCAAACACTTGCCCTTCTTGTAAACATCTTTTCTGCACAACCCCGTGGCCTGTTGCCCATACCTAGAATGTTGAATGAGCTAGTTGGTCTTCTCTCAGCAGAGGTGTGTGTTAGACAATGTCTCCCTTTGAGTGCAAATCAATACTGTTTACAAGTGATATCTCAAGGCCAAAGCCAGGGAGTCCTTGTGGATTAACTGGATGCTCTACCAACTTCACCAGAGTTCATTGAAAGAACCATCAAACCTCATTGGATAACATTTAGTACAAAGCAGTAAAAAATTGTGACTAGAAGAATTTTAGTGAAAAAATGCAACTTTAATTGCAAGAATACCCCGTAAAGGGTGTGGGGAGATGAGGACTCTCACAAACTGCTTTGGGGAGGTAAACTAGTCTGGCCACTTTGGAGAGCAATTTGGGCAGTCTCGGGTAACATTCTAGAAGCCCGATGACCCAGAAATACCACAGCTCATTATCTATGCTAAAATCTTGCACACACTCAGAGATGTGTCCCAGGATGTTAAAGGCATAATGGTGCGTAAAAGTAAAGAATTAAAAACAATGTAAATATCCATCAATAAGAAAATGGCTTCTTAAATTATCAGCCATTTACTAAATAGTCTACAACAGTTTTTTTTAATTGATTTCTTTTTCTTTATTGACTTTAGAGAGAGAGAAGGGAGAGGGAGAGAGAGATAGAAACATCGATGAGAGAGAACATCGATTGGCCACCTCCTGCATGCCCCTCACTGGGGATTGAGCCCACGACCTGGGCATGTGCCATGACCAGGAATCAAACCGGCGACCTCTTGGTGCATGGGTCAACGCTCAACCACTGAGCCACACCGGCCGGGCTAGTCTACAATGGTTTAAAAGGATGAGGTGGAGGGGAAATGAGGTAGGTCTACATGAACTCTTGGATAGCTCCCCTAGACATTTGGTTGAATGGTAAAGTGCATGGCAGAGCGAGCCATTCCAGATAGCCTTTACATAAAAGGGAACAACAACATGAAACAAAACAGCGGAACTATATGTTTTCTACAGGTATATATGTGCACTTAAATATGTAGAAAAAGGTCTGGAAAGATGAAGCCCAAACTCATAAGAGTGAGGAGGGAGGGAAGAGTGAATGAGACCTGATCTTTATATGTATTTCTTTTTAATAAGGGCAAGGTAATTGTGTATTATGTATATAATCAATAAAGTTATTTTAGTGGACTAACAAAATCTATTCTTCCCTTCACATTGAAGCCCTATAGAGTTCTTTTGGGGATCTGCTTTATCAGCTTGCTTGAATGTGGAATAAGCATGTTGTTTTCCTGAGAAGTGGCTGTTACAGCCCTCATTAGACTCAGTAGCCAAAGGAAGTCCTGCATGAGAGTCATTTCAGCCACAGCAGCTCCTGCCACATCAACAGAAAAAATCGTCATGGGCTCTTCGCTCACTATTTCTGTTCCTCAGGCAGTAGAAGCTTTATTAAATTCCCATCACACTCAACATCTTTCTGCAAGCTGTCTTACCTCTTATGAAATCCTGTTACTAACTTTTCCCCGAGTCACACTCTCACAGCAATAAGCTCAACCCTGCAACTCGCCTTCCTCTGCCTTTGGAGGAAACTGCTCATGACTGACTTTGACTTTGACCAACTACTGACACCTAGAGCTAACTCTGGTTCACGGATGGTTTCTATTTGTTGTTGCTGTTGTTGTTAATCCTCACCAGAGGATTCTTTAGATACACTGGAAGGGGGAGAGAGAGAGAAGAAACATCGATGTGAGAGAAACACATCGATTGGTTGCCTCCCGCACAACCCCCACCCATACTGGGGATCAAACCTGCAACACAGGTACATGCCCTTGACCGGGAATCGAACCCAAGACCCTTAGGTCTGTGGGCTGACGCTCTAACAGCTGAGCCAAACCGGCCAGGGGCAGATGGTTTCTATTTAAGGTGAAGGTGGTCAAAGCAGCTTTGGGCCAAACAGCCACTTCAGCTCAATGGGCTAAACTTGATACATTGGCGAACTCACACTTTAGCAAACGGTAACACTGCAAACATTTACCCAGAAAGTCCTTACACCTTTGGTGCCATTTATGATTTTGGTATGATCTGGAAACAGAGAAGATTTCTAACCTCTGGAGGATCTTAAATTAAGAATGGATTCTTTGTTAGTAAATTACTAGTTTCAATCCAACTTCTGTATTCCTTGGCCACTATCAAA